AGTTTCAAACCCAAATAACAGCTGGAAGAGGTTTGAAATGATAGATACCAAGCCCAATGCCCTTCTTTTCTTTGCGGTAGCTCAAATTGCCAAATAACTTGTCGGCTTCTTCAGAACAAAACACGAATTTAGAAAATTAGAGAATAAATGCTGAAAAAATTCTTTCAACTTTGATTGCATGAGCAGCATATCATAAATTTGCTTTGAATCTAAACTAAGTTTGCTTTACAACAAAGCCAATACTATTTATAATTGTGTCAAACAAGCCAATGGATTTATTTTTTTCTAACACAGAAACGAAGCTACACTTCACAAACACTAGCGAGAACACGACAAAAATACGCTCATAAATTGCAATAAGAAAAAGTAGAAATAAGCCTCGAATTAGTAAAATTTTGGCTAGGTCACGCACTACCCACTCAACCACAGACAAACTAAGAACAAACGCTATGAAATTCCGGATGCTACAGATTGTGATCATAGCAAAAGTACTACCAAATAATGAATACTTTGCCACCAAATAATGAACACTTTTATTTGCGAGTTAGGTTTAAAACAGAAAGTTCGTACTAACTCGTGCTAATACGCTATCAAAACAAATACCAAAAAATTACAAATCTCAGGAAACATCGGAAACAATGTTCAAAAATTGACCCAGAGTTATTATACCAGTTTCATAAGAATTTTTTAGTCTTCGTAAGTCTTCGTTGGTCAAGTTTTGGTCTTCGTGAAAACTTGACAAACAAATAGCAAGCGACTGAAATTCTTGGCTTTGCCTGATTGTCTGAATTGATCGTAGTAGTCTGCTGTTAAAATTCTGAGGAATGAACTTCCTAGCGAAAAAGTTCCCCAAAATTTTTGAAATTTTTGATCTTTTCTGTAAATTTGTGTCAACCCTAGGCCTTAAAAAAAGTAAGTAAATTTGTTCAAATGGTCTTGGTGCAGTCTGAAATGTTCAGACTCAACAGAAAAAAATTATTTGTTTTGCCGAGATAAAGCCCAGGATCTGTTAACTGTAACGTTCAAACTTTTTGGAATTGGTGGCAGACATTTTTCTCTCTCTCGAGTTAAACTGTTTTTCAATTTCTGATTTTCGGGGGCAAAAAATCGCTTTTTGGCATCTGCGATAGTTTTTCAAGTTTTCCGTATGGTGTTTTGAAGAAATTCGAAAAAATCTCGAAATTTTTTTTCGGCAATAAATTGATTGTTGGGTTTATAGGAATGATATTTAACGAAACAACTATTTATATTTTCAGGAATATTTGTAGATATTTTGGCTTTGCATTCAGACTCGACACATATGTAATAAGTTTTCTGGCTGGATATATATATATATTTTTTGAGCAAACCCTTGAAATATATGCTCTAATTCGCCGGCAGTCAGGGACAATTAAAAAATTTTGGACACTGCTGGTTTTATGTTCGGCCAAAATTAAAATTAAGTACCTGGAAATTATTACTTATTTTGGAATTTTTACTACGCTTTCTTTCTAAATTTTGAATACTGAAATGTGTTTTTTATTTTCGGTTTTTGCTTATTCGGTCCATTGTCAAAGAGGGATTCCACCCTTAAAATGAGTAAAACCAACAAAATGAAGACTTTTTTGGTCGAAATTTTGGAGGTAAACGAACAATTGTTTCCCAACTTGCTTGCCCTTCAATCGAACGAAAATAAGACTAACTGCTGTAACATATTGTGATTCAAATTCGGCTCATAATTTTATTCTAATTGCGTGCCTTGCTCTTGCCTTGGTTTGTTTTACTCTCTCTCATAATTGTCTATTAAAGTCATTGTCTTGATTACAACCGTCTCCTTGACATTCACCGTTATTTCATTTCAAAATTTCGTGAGAAACAAAAATTTCTTATAATTTTGATTTCTTAAGAAATTGATATAATGATTATGTTACAGTTACAGAAGCGGTATTTCTAATTTTTTTGTAAGGTTTAAATAATTTAAATGATAATGTCCTGGTAATTGACAAATTGTCTCGGAAAACAAATGATTGTTTCATGAAAACTTCAGACTATTGAAAAGTTATCAAGTCCACCTCACTCTCAAAACACTCAAAAAACTTTATTTTCAAATGAAACAATATGTGGCGACTAAGACGATAAAATATAGGCCGAAATCTATTAAACCCCAAAAAACTGAAAAATCCGGAAAAAAAATTAAAAATTTCATACTAACTAGAAATTATTAAGTCTTTTCAAACTCAAAACACAAAGACATCCACACAAAAAACTTTCTTCGCTCGTCGAAAGTAGCAATATGTGGCCAATAAACCGATATAATATGGGCCGAAACCTATCAAGCCGAAAAAAGGGAAAAACAGCCGGAGGAACAAAATGTTATCATGAGAAACTTAAATTATTCTTCTACACAGGGAGAAGCTGCGCTTGGGAGACACTTGCGAGAACACGACCAAAAATCAGCTCAAGTAGCACCGATCACAAAAATTACAATTTTACATGTAATAAATTGAAAATCAAAAAACCACATGATTTATAAATTACATTTCAAAAACATGCGAGATTTATTGAGCTAGTAATTTTCTGAAATCGTGTTTTCATTATTGTTACGTTGTTTGAAACAAACCACTTTTTTGGTTCATTTGATAAATTAACACAGAGGTGAAGCTGCGCTTTGCAAACACAAGCGACAAAAATGCAAAAAAGAGCTCTAAATTGGCAAAACAAATTAAAATAAGGAAATTTTTCGCATCTGCGCCAAGGTCGCGAGCAAGTAAACTAGTGGTGCTAATGCTGAGTCTGCGTGTTCTAATATTTTTAATCATATTTTGTACTGATACGGAAATGCGTAATTTTCAAAGCTTCAAAAAATAGACTTCACGCTAAGCCCTAGGGTTTCTCTGCTCAAGTAGGCTTTTAAGCGCTTATATAAGGAAGAATTCTACTACTTGCTATTTCAAATGAAGTCTTCATCTCAGATTTGGCTGGGTAGCTTTCAAAAAATTTTAAAACGGTTTCAAAAATCGATCAATTTCTTCTTCCATCCATAATTTTTCTCTAGTAAAGCATGGAAATAGCCTCTGCTTTCTACAGCATGATTTTGTAGATTGAGTCCTTAACATCAGATTTAGCTAGTAGTTTTTGAGAATAGTGACGAAGTTTCTATAAACAAAAACTAAAAATTTTTAAAAAATTTTCTTAATTTCATAACAGCTTTTTTATTTAAAAAAAAAACAGAAAAAAAACAGGTTACCCAGGCAAAAACCAAGCGCCATGTTAAAATTAATGAACTTAACGGGTTAGTTTTTGAAAAATAAAATAACTTTCCGAAAGACGGTTAACTTTTTACTTTTTAAAAAAGCACGGGTAGACGGGTAACTTTTTTTTAAAAAGCAGGGCATGGTCGCATGCCCAGGTAAGATTTGCATGACTGATTTTCATTTTCGGTCAAACCACTCGTCTTCGATTTCGCAAGGTAGTTTTTGAGAAAACAGATAAAAAATTTTAAAAATTAACCAAAATTTCAAAAAATGAGCTTGTTTGATGCCATCATTTTTTCTACAGAAATTAGGTAATACCCGCTTGAGAAGGGGATATCCCATATTTTGTTCTTTTGATTGTAACCTTTATCTCTGATTTGTGCATTTAAAATTTAAAAAACTGAAAAATTTCGAAAAAATTAAGCCAAAAGTCCCCCTACTGAAAAAATTTCGAAGGCCGTAGAAGGTCAGGTAAAATGAAAATAGACTAACAAATTATGCAGTCACATAGAAGAGCAGAAACTTTGGCGTCATGTCCGATCCAGAAGCGAGCATACAAAATTTAATTCCATTAAAATGGAACAAAATTAGGTCACTAAGCCGAAAAAAAAAATGTTTCGCCAGAAAAATGTTTTTCAACAAAAACCAAAAAAAAAAGAAAAAAAATACCAATTCGAGCTTAGTTAAATTACAAATATAGCCAAACGAAGATTGAATAAGAGTAGTGAACGCGAGTGAACAAAAAATACTGACTTTGTTTAAAAATCTCAATTTTCGAATTTCAAAGAAAAAAATAGATTCCTTTTAAGCTCTTTGCATTTCTAGAATGATTTATGATTAGCGCTTTTGTAATAACACTAACCCAACTTGACAAACTGGATTAACAAGCAAAATTTTTATTTCGCTGTAAATCTAAAAATTAAATTCCACCTTTGAAACTAGAATTTGTTCGTTTTTTCGCGCCGTTTCCACGTTCGTATTTGGAGAGTGCTATTCACGTCCCAGGCGTATTCGTTACCTCCAGACTAAGTGTGCTGGAGACGCTTAGATATTTGTATTCATTATGAACCAAGAAACTAATTGATTTAAATGATGTCAAACAAAATGTTAACCCGAAAAGGGTTTTTATTCCGATTTGATAACGCTTCCTAATCGCAAGCGTAATGATACTTCTACGCATAAGGTACAGATCTGTCTTCGATGTAGATCCATCTGCTAATAAACCGTATATAATAGTGATCACCTAAATTTTTGAAGTTTAACACAGAGGCGAAGTTGCACTTCGCATACACAAGCAAAAATATGACCGATGTCGCTACTGGGAAAAACTGATTGAGTAAAACTTTGAGTCTACAAAATTTCTTTTGTGACTTTAAAATGAATTTTTAATAAAATGAATTTTTTTAATTGAGATTTTTTTTGTGGCAACTATCCCCCCACATACCATATTAAGTACAAAGTGATAAATTTTGCTCCTAGTAATATATCAATTATGGCAAATATGCCTCCTTTAACCAATTTCACCAATTCTGACGGATTAAATCTCCGCTTACGCGTTAATAACTTCCTTCACCAATTCTGATGGATGAAATCTTCGCTTACGCGTTAATAGCGCGAATGATATCGCGCGTTTATTTTCCCGTGAAAATCATAGAAAATTGACGATACACTCGAAACTTACCAATCAGGCTTGAAATATGATTTCAATAGGTATTGTCTCCCATTGCTCGCTTGTTTGATACACTTTTGAAGTTTTCAATTCACTAGTTTAACACTCCATTGCTTATCGCAAGGGTAATCATTTCTAATTATTCTCCAATTATGATAAAATGCAGATAACAAAATGAAATAACTAAAGTTTTTTTAATTTGAGTTTCTTCTTTAATCGTGACCTTGAGTTTTTGTCGGGAATTTTCTTGGAAAGCTTGCTCTTCTTTCGTCTTGATTTTGAGGACTTCCGTTCTATCGTTAGATCTGAAAAAGTAATCGAACCAAATTATTTTGAAACATTTTGAATATCTAGTTTCTCGAGGAGTGGTTATTAAAGCTCGCTTCGCTTCTGGACTTGTAAAAATTTGGATACATTGACAATGCGGTGTTGGTTAGGGCAAAATAAAGTATATTTATGCATTGATTTGAACTTCTATTGGTAAAAATGGTCCTTGCGCCAAAGCGATGCTCTGAATGTTTCAACTCTCTAGTTAAATAATTTCGGTTTAATGTTCCACAAAATGAACGATCATTTTTCACTTTTTATAAACCACACTACCCAATAACATGAAAAGGATGTGAGCGGCTTCTATTTTGCAGGATTACTTTGTTGCTTGCTTGTTAAGCTTCAAAACAAATGGAAACCAAAACTGCTCTTAATAATGCAAAGAACTGAATGTTCCGACTGCCATTTGAAATTGTTGAAACGGTTGAAATTTCGATTTTTTAATCTAACTTCATCGAATTTTATGAGCTCAATCCTCACCAAAAGTGCAAAAAAATCTGTCCGGCAATGTATACAAGAGCAAATGTCTTGCTTCAATTCAATCTGGAATGGCTTAATTAGCCGCTTACGCTTTAGCATGACGAAATATATCGATCATGCGTTAGTAATCCTATCCCAATTAGAATTTAAGTGATCAAAGTAATCCCAAAATCAACCCCTCATTACTCCAAAACAAATGGTCGCCAATGTATTTTCTATTTTTGAGCTTCGGGCATCAGTTGGTATAAAAAATGGCCAAAATGGATAGTTAAAAAGTCGAAATTTGTATGGAGAACGAACTACCCGAGCACAACTATTTCGTCACTTCTTGATCCGAAAATTGAAACAACACTGCGCGCAATAATGCAATTAAATTGGTAGTTTTTATCTTGAAATGCGCATAAATTTATCAAAATGAACTACGAAAAACTTGTTCAGAAGATTTTTGTTCCGATCACTAAAAGTGTGGATGACTTTGTCTTTTTCTATTTGAAATCGTAATCCGATCGACATCATAGTTTTGTAAGCGCCGAGAAAAACTGATTTGACAATTTTGACCCCACCCTGCTTGTACCTCCTCGCTCGGTCCTGCTCCTCCTCGCCCTGCCCTACCTGGCTTTACGCTGCCCTGCCTGGGCTTGCGCTGCCCTACCCTGACCTACATGCCCTTCCCCTCCTCGCCCTGCCTTGCCTTGCGTTGCCATATTCCGTCTTGTCCCTCCTGACCCGGCCCTGTGCTGTTCACGCTCCCCTACCATGCCTCGACTCTCATCGCCCTGCCTTGCCACTCCTCGTCCTACCTTACCTTAAGCTGTCCTGCCTTGCCTTCCAAAGTCCTGTGCTACCTTGCCCCTTCTCGCCCTACCCTGCCGTGCTCTCACTACCCTTCCTTATCCTTCCTCATCCCTTTTCTCCCAGCCCTGCCTAGCGTTACCGTTCTCTGCAACTCCTCACCCTGCTCTGCCTCTCCTCGCCCTATCCCGCTTTGCGCTGAAAAGTTTATTAAGCACTGCAAAATACGATGCAGCATAAACTTGCTCAATTTCGTGCGTTTCGGAAACCTTAAACTTGTTGTTTCCATTTAAATTTTCATTCATTACGTTCTTTTAATTTGAAGACATCTCTTGGTTCTTTTTACTTATTCCGTATTGAAACTTTTCACATTCGAACATCTCGTATTGAAATTATTTTGCTTCAATCTGAGCGGTTAAAATTAGCCAATCAAAATTCAACACCAACTCGAAGTGTTGTTCACAATTTCGACTCGACTTCTAAAACAGCCGAAATAATTGAAAAATAGACTGTTTGGTAAACTATTCAATTGAATTGTAGAATTTCTCCCAGATAAAAAAAAACACAAAAAAACTGCACGAAAAAAGTGGACCACCTTCAAACACATTTTGCTCGAAAATTGTCCATGATAAAAATCATTAAAGAGTGAAGTGATCGCGTTTGTATCAACAAAACCAAACAGTGCGATCTGTATTTTAATTTTATTCTGGCCAGAAACCAACATTTCAGCACCTTGTATTGAAACTATTTTGTTTCAATCTGATTGGCTATATTTAGCCAATCTAAGTTCAGCACCGACTCAAAACTTTTTTTCGCAATTTTACGTCGACTTCTAAAGCCGCCAAGTTGGCAAATATATAGATTGTTTAGTTAATTATTCATAGGTTGCAAAATTGTAACGCTGTACCCAGACCAGAAAAAAAAACCCAAAAAATAACTCCAGGAAAATTGACAACCTTCACAAGGAATAAAATTATAGCGTTTGTATCAAACAAACCAATCAGTGCGATCAGTGTTTTGTTCTCTGCATTTATACATTGATTATTACAAAATCTCAAAACAACGAAATTTGGGCTGAATAAGTAATCATAGCCAAAAGATCAGCTGGAAATAGCCAGTTGGAAAAAATCATTTGTTTTCAAGAAAGTCGGCAATTGTTAAATAGACTACGTTAGTAGAATTTTCGACCAATTAAAATGCTGCAAAATAAGGATTCTCAAAAGAACGATCAAGTCAAGTCCGAAACCCCCCCCCCCCCCCCCTCCCTCAGCGATTCGATCCCCTGCCGACCCTTTGTACTATTTTGAGATATCCATTTTTGGTGACAGACCCTAAAATTTTTCTAAGGCACCTTCGGCAACTATATAATAATTTTGAGAGGGGAGCGCGCGCCAAAAAAACGCGATTTTTGGTCAAAATTTTCCCAAAACTGCCTAAAAACGCCTTTTTCGGTCTGCTTTTTCAAAAAATTTGCCTTGCGCAGTGGGAAGACACGGGATCTCTGTTACTAAATAAATCAGTGGCTGACTTATTTTATGGTATTATTTCATGACATCGACTTTGGGCCGACCAACCCTAAAAGATTTTAAGGCGCCTTCGGCGACAAAATGTACTTATTTAGAGGGGAAGCACGCGCCAAAAAAAAAGCAATTTTTGGTCAAAACTTTTTAAAGTTCTGCCTTTTTTTCTTCAAAAATTTGCTTGCAGAATTTTTTTTCAAAAAACGGTCTTTATGGAGTCCATTACTGCTCGGAAAATCAATTTATAAACGACCTAAAAGGCGACCAAGTTTCTTTTATTAAAATTAAATCCCCCCCCCCCCCATCGAGAAAATTTTATTCCGCCCCTATCCTTCGCTATTGCTAAAGGGAGAATTCGTTAATAGTTTGAAAAATAGCGCATGCTCAACCATTGATTTGGTTCTTTACAGGATTGGTTATTCTTTACCATGTACCAAAGTACCCCCCCCCCCCCCGCCCCCTTTCAAGAAAGGGGGCAATTGTTGAGTAGGTTAAGTTAGTCGAATTTTCGACCAATCAGAATGCAGCAAAATTAGAATTATCAAAAGAACGCTCTAGTGCTAATTTACTGCCTTTATTTATACGGTTGGCTTTAGATATCATAGGGAGGTGGAGGGCTATTGTTAAAGTAGCTCCAAATATTTAAAGATATCCGGCATTATATGGCGAGAACAGTATTCGATTTGGAAAAAAATATTCTAAGGGAAATGAAAAATATTCATATGCATATACTACTTTCACGTTATACGTCTGCGTTATGAGAACATTCTAGAACCTTCGATTGAACAAATATATCATTTCACAAGCAGTAGATGAAAAACACACTGAAAAGAACAATGAAAGTAGATCTAGAACATTCGGAATTAGATAACAATAATGGTATAAAATATTGGTACAAAATACTCTCGACACGATTGTTCTAGAACATTCGCTTCAAAGAGTATTCTAGAATTAGAATGCGTTTACCATATAAATACCGGACTGCATTTTTTACTACCAATCAATTTGAAATCGACAAAAATTTACATTTTCAACGCCTCATTTCGAGCCTTCAACGCTAATAACTCAAGCATACCATTTCTGCAAAAAACCGCAATTTGACAGTCAATTCAACATTCATCAAAAATCTATTCAGCGACTAATCAAAAATGGTCAAATCAGCTCCTGCAATTGGAATCGATTTGGGTACCACCTACTCTTGCGTAGGGGTTTTCCAAAATGGGAAAGTGGAAATCATCGCCAACGACATGGGCCATCGAACCACTCCTTCCTACGTCGCTTTCAACGACTCGGAACGCCTGATTGGGGATGCGGCCAAGAATCAAGCAGCTATGAACCCAAACAACACGATTTTTGACGCTAAACGACTCATTGGACGAAAGTTCACTGAAGAAACTGTTCAAAAAGACATCAAGCTGTGGCCTTTCAAAGTGCTCAACAACAACGACAAGCCTCAAATTGAAGTCGAATACAAAGCTGAGACGAAAAAGTTCCACGCCGAAGAAATCAGCTCAATGGTTCTGACCAAAATGAAAGAAACAGCGGAAGCATACCTAGGAGCCCATGTGAAAGACGCTGTCATCACAGTTCCAGCTTACTTCAACGATGCTCAAAGAGCTGCCACCAAAGATGCCGGAGCAATCGCAGGACTCAACGTCTTGAGAATAATCAACGAGCCAACAGCAGCTGCACTTGCCTATGGTTTGGACAAGAAGGCAACTGGTGAAAGGAATGTCCTGATTTTCGACCTGGGAGGAGGAACATTTGACGTTTCAATTCTCACAATTGAGGATGGAATGTTTGAAGTCAAATCAACGGCAGGTGACACCCATTTGGGAGGCGAGGATTTTGACAACCGACTTGTGAGGCATCTGATTGAGGAATTCAAGAGAAAGCACAAACAGGATCCCTCCCAGAACAAACGGTCCCTGAGAAGACTCAGAACCGCAGCTGAAAACGCTAAGAGAACTCTATCTTCAAGTGCGCAAGCCACAATTGAGATCGACTCACTCTTCCATGGAATTGACTTCTACACCAGCATAACTCGAGCCCGCTTCGAAGATCTTTGCATTGATCTTTTCCGAAGCACCTTGGATCCAGTGACAAGAGCCCTGAAGGATGCACAAATGAGCAAGAACGACATTCACGAGGTGATGTACTAAGACAAAAGTTGCTTGGGACAAAAGTTGCTTAGAATTTCACCAGAATTAATATGGTGCCATTTTTTCTCCAAAAATTTTACCCCAAAAATGAGTCATTTTGGCTTTTTTCAATTTATCAAGAATTACGCTGAAATTATTTTGTTAATTGATAAGAAAATTATATCACAGGAAGCCTCTTACGCAGCTCAACAAAGTTTAAGAAGGGTTAAATCTCCAAAAACCAGTATAAGAGAAAAAATTTTCATTTCATAGTCAAAAAATGTGATTTTTACTATATAAAACCCAGAATCTCTGTTTAAAAATAAATTTTAAACAATTTGCGCAAATTTTTGGAGATTTAACCCTTCTTAAACTTTGTTGAGCTGCGTAAGAGGCTTCCTGTGATATAATTTTCTTATCAATTAACAAAGTAGTTTCAGCGTAATTTTTGATTAATTGAAAAAAGCCAAATTGACCCATTTTTGGGGTAAAATTTTTGTTGAGAATGGAGAAAAAATGGCACCATATGAATTCCGGTGAAATTCTAAGCAACTTTTGTCCTCTTCACTTTTTGTCTAATCTTAACCCAATTTGAGAAAAACGCGTTTTAAAATTCAAGTTTTGTTCATTTTGTCCGGATAATTTAAATCAGCACTGTATGTCGATCAACACTACAAATTCAAAAAAAACATTAACAATTTTTAATTAAAACATCAGCAGACTATAAAATTACAGTCGCTTCGATTTTCAAATTTTTTAAAACTATTTATTCCAACTTCCTGAAAACAGAATTTCGGAAAACAATTTCTTTGATTAAGTATAGTACTTTTATTGCATTAATGAGAACAATAACAATCAAAATCGCCTCTGAAATTAAACACCAAGAAACGACCTCCTATATGCATCATTTAGCACAATGGTAAAGCTCGATTTCGCAAATATAGTCCAAAACAAGGCACGGGCAACCTAAAAATGCAAAATCGAACAAAAATATGAAAAAAGATTTCCGGTTGCTGTGCAAGAAGCACAGAATGCTATTATCACATTCATAAAAAACTACAAAAAAGTTCTTTTTTTTTTCTTCAAATTAATGTAGTTTTTTTTGTGCGTGGTCTAATGAGAAAACTATACCAACGCTTGGAAAGTTAGCGCATTAATAAATAATATCGACCACAGTTGTCACAAAAAATATATCACAAAAAATTGAAAATCTACTTTTTAGAGATGCCAAAAAAAGCGCTAAATTAAGCTTGTAAAACTTCATTTCTTCTTATTAATATCATTTTTTCTAAGACTAAATGGCCAAATTTTATTAAAGACGTTACTCGATCGCTTTACTTGCTTGAAATTTGACTAAAACTCAAAAAGATCAAACTAGTTTCTCTCGGCACTGAGACAATTTTTTGCAAACGTTTTAGAGTCGTTCCAATCACGACTGAAAGGGATCTAATACGATGTATCACTTGACACATTCTGATGATTATTTGTTGTACCTGATTGTGCGTGGGAAAAACTCCCGAAAACAAAATCCCTCCCCAGTTTCAACGATCGGACTGAAAATTCTGGCATTTGATATCTTAAACTTAGACGCACTAGACTGATCCACTGCGCCACATTGTTTTATTACAAGCTTTTTTTCTCAGAGTGAACATTTAAAATGCAACGATACTCGAAATATCTGTTAGTTGACGAAAAAACAGATTAGGAGATTATCACCAATTTCGGCAATCGTGTAAGTTAAATTCACTACGGAAGAAATTTTAGTAACCAGAAGCAAAACTTTTAGCAATGCTTCAAAGGGTTACACAATGGCAAAGCTGAGCTTCGAACCTCTTGTTATAGAAAATAAACTACCAAAAATCAAAAGATAAAGTGTCTCAAACGAAAAATAAAAAAAAATTAATGAATTCTGTTGAAAAAATCCTGGGCTAAAAACATTTTTTAAAAAACATTTGATTGCAATTGTTATAAAAACCAATCGACTAAAACATAGAAGGACGAGGGCTACACGTCCTCCAAAAACAAAAAAAAAACATTTCAGAAAAAAAAGAAACATTGCACCCAAAAAAAATGAAAATGAATGTGCATTTTTTAATTGCAAAAAAAAATTCATTTTATAGAAAAAATTTTAATGCGTAGAAAAACCAGGAAACGATGAACTATACTTATCCTCTTGAGAAACAAACACATAGTTAAACAAACACCACAACTTAAAAAAACTTCAAAACGTTGTCTATTTGCTGAAAACAAATCCAGAAACACATTCGACAGTATTTAATCAATTTAAAAAACAAGTTTTGAGCGAAAAAAATTGTTGTCATGAAAAACTTGGAACTGTACATTCTATTCTGGGACTTTTAGCATTTGTTGCAATCCGGGGGAAGCATACAAATTATGGTTCCCTCGAACGACCCAAAAACAGGTGAGAAAGCCAATGAAATATTTTAAGCGACAAATGTTTTTGAAAAGGGAAAATATACGAAGTCAAGGTTAGTAGAATTACAAATTGCAGGAGTAAATGAAAAGATTTAAAAAACAACTACAATGAAAACTGTATACAGCAAAAAATTTCAAAGAAGTGGCAACTAAACCGACAAACCATAAGCAGACAAATAATAAGCCGACAATTGTTTTAAAAAGGAGAATTTCCCGTTTGAAAAAACAGGTCTTGGTCAGATTCGAAGCCACAACCTTTACCGTCCCAGGCGTAATCGTTGCCTCCAGACTAAGTGTGAGACGCTTAGAAATTTGAATTTATTAAGAATAAAGATACCAAGTGATTCGGTAATTAAGTTGATAACCCGAAAAAAGTCTAGATTCCGATTTGATAACGCTTGCTAATCGCAAGCGTAATAATATCCTGAGTACCATTTTTTCAATCAAAAATTGAAACATTCACGCCAAATTCAATATTCTGTTGAAACCAAACAACTTAGCTAAGAATCAAGCATTTCGTTCTGTAACGCGTTATCATGGTTACTAAATTCCGAACCCACTTACCAGGATTATAATTCGGATTCGGCACCGAGAAAGATACTCGACTGGACTGTTCGTCCAGATCCTGTTCTCCAATCGCAGTTGCAATGTCAGCCGAACTCATAAATTCGATGCCCTCTTTTTCAACTACATCTTCCAGGTCACTGACGTCATCATCTGAGTCAGTGACGTCACTGATACCCCCGGCTGATGAAACTGCTTCTGATTGGCTGGTTTCTTTTGATTGAGCAGCTATGTTTTTCAATTTGCTGTGACTTTGTTCCGATTGGTTGTCAGAGTTTTTGCGCTTCTAAACAGATCATGAGAGCCAGTTAGTATCTAGAAAAGATTCTGTATCCCATACAACGGTGCCGTCCCTGACAATGATGTCTTTTTTTATTAGCGGCGCATCTAAGGCCATTTGCAACAGTAAATGTAAATGCGAAGCTATGAAATATTATCTGACTTTCAATAACCATTTTGGTTGAAAAACTCTCCAGTTGAAAAACCCCAAAATCTCAATTTGGCTCCAAACAGATCAGATTTATTAACATCCGAACAAGTACAGATAAATTTTTTGAGATAATTTATCCACGAGGGCAGGGGCAGATCCAGACGTTTATCAATTTCCCGAGCTCACCAAAAACATCATAACAACCCTATTTTAGCAAAACTTTGTGCGGCATGCAAATTAAAAAAAAACAGGTCAAAAATGCCGTTCTAAAAAAAATGAGTCAAAAATTTCCGATTTAGGAAAGTTTTACGGTCGGTTGTCTGAAAATTGATGTCGTAAAATAGTACTTATGGGGGCTTTGAGTGGTGTGGTGCTCGAATCCTTGAGGTGGGTGGATATATGCCTTGAGTTCAGCTCTTTACGTAGATCTGCTTCTATGCCCCTGGTTACAAGTGCAATTTTTCTAGTCTGGCTTTTTTGCCCATTTGATATCACAAGGTTGGAGGAATATCAATATGATTGTGATTGTTTTGTCCTTTTTAAATTGGCTTTGATAATTTTGAAAACTCCCACACTGCTGAAAATGCCACACTTCTTCAATTTACTTTAGCTTTCTTCAACGCGGCGCCCAAAAAATTCCAAAACTAATAGGAATAACGTAAATTTCAGGCTACTTAAATCGCGCGGAAACAAATTTGTGCCACAACTGTGCAAGGAAATGGACGACATTGATGGGAAAGAACTGGACTCAGAAAATAGCGTAAAATTCGCTAGCTCCGTTTGTGTAGAAACATCAATTTTAAAAAATCATACTTTTGGAGAGTTTTCATTTTAAACCTGACACAACATTACCCATTGTTTCAAGAGAACCTTTAGAACTTCGAAAAAATTCGCAAAGAAAAATGAAAAAGTGTTCAAAAACTCATTCAAAAATAGCTGCTTTTGGCGCTCTCTGAAATTTCGTCACCAGATAAATTTTCCAATTTAAACGCATCATAGCCAATCATTGATTTTCCGGAATAAAAATAGCTGCCCAGAAAAGTTTCAAATAAAACAAATAGCCAGGATCTGTGAAGTTTTGTGAGAATGTGGCGAGAGAGAACTGAAAAACCTGGAAAAACGAAATGATAGTTACACAGAGGCGAAGTTGTGAGATCCAAAAAAAATGTAGGTTTCAAGCTACAACTTGGAGATTACGAGTCTCACGTCCTTGCATCTGTACCATGTGCTCTTGATTTTATTAAAAAATTAGCACTAATTTATGCCAGTTGGATTGGAGAAGAAACGGAAGCTCGCACTTGTGAAGAATTTATGATAAATTTTAGTCGAGTGAAAACCAATTTACAGTTACAATTTAACTGCAAATGCAGATGTTTAAATGAAATCTAACGGCGCAAAAAATCATTCCATGATACGCATAGGTAAAAAAAAATTAGAAAAAATTGACCGCGATCGTTTTAAACTAACTTGAAATAGATTTTCCCACGGTAAGGCATTCACTTTAAGATTGTCTGATTGTGTAACCGATCCCCTGCCACGGCAACAATAGCGTGTGAGGACTAGCTCTCACATGACCTCTAGCTTCAGGTCTACCACAACCTGACCAATTTTGGCTGCAATAGTGGTACCACGTGAAAATTCCAGGCGCAAAAAAAACGGCCTTGGGTCGCAAACAAGAGCATCGCTCAACAAAATAACTCAGTCTGGAATGTGGGCAAAAAAGAAAAACAGAGAATGCTTAGACACACCTGATAGCGTTTTAAAGATCTTCTGCGCATCGCAGAACCCTCAATTATTATTATTATTAGTTAAAAGTTATGACGGATATGCAGCTGTCAAATCAAGTCAAAATAAAATTTGAGAAGCGTCAATAAACTCAAAAAAAATGAAAAAAAGGATTTACTTTTTTCAAAATTTTTTAATTTTACAACTTCGAAGAAAAAACACATGGCGTTTAAGCTCTTTGAATTTCCAGAATCTTTTATGAAACTAACCAAATTAATGTCATCTTTTTTTCACTTCATGTGCCTTTTCTTAATTAGAAAGCTTAAATTGTCTTTCTTTTAGTAAATTAATTTATATTGGAACTTGAAAATATACAAAACCAAAAGCGGAAACTCAATTAGCGTGAAGAACAAACAAACAAAACAACCACACGAGCTAAACAAGTCTTCATTTTGTTCATTGGCACTCAGACAATCACCAACTGTTTTTGATCAATTCTACAGTTTTAAGTCGACAATCAAGTCGACAAAATTGAGCGCATGCCATCAATCCGCCAAATATTTATTTTTACTTCTTTATTTCTGTATAACTTGCTAGAGTGAATAGTGATGCTCATCCGGTATATCTTTGATACTGATGATCTATTGAAAAAATTTCTGAAGCAATTGATCAATTGAGCACAACCCCACTCACGATTTAATGCTACCAAAATAAATCTACGCGTTTACTTTGCAGCATAGAGCCATTGTCGCATAAAGCATGTGACATAAGCCGCTACCAAAGTATAGCCTTGTCCAATAAGTCTCTACTGAAGTGAACTAGCATTGTCTCAATATTGCATTGTAGCATTTATAGCATTGTCGCTTAAGTCGCTACCAAAATCGAGCATTGTCTCAATATTGCATTGCAGCATTTATAGCCTTGTCGATTAGGTCGCTACCAAGTATAGCATTGATGCTTAATTGCAACTTAAGTACCTCTGCGCATCGTTTGCGTTGTCGCATATATCCAAATGGGATCTTGTTAAATTGGAATTGATCTTGTTAATTTCCATCCAATGAAAGGTAGCCATGGTGACAGGAAAAAGTATGCCATACAAAAGTATCTCATTCCAAAATATCCCATACCAAAACATCCCAATGGACACATGGGCCCTTACAAATATAGCCCACGTCAATTAAGATATCCCATAGAGGATTAAAAAAGAATTTATGATATAGACCAACAAAGATTGGTGCATACATCTACATTGCAATTAAAGAGATTTATTTCAACTGCCTCAATTATTTCGAGACGCCATATAAAGATAGTGCTAATTGTGAAAGACTCTTTTAAAGGGATTAATTCTTACTTTTAAACCTGGTAAAGGAAAATTTAAATGCTCTTTGCATTCATAGCAAAGTTTGGCTTTGTGACGGAGCTTTTAAGATTTGTCCGTCTCAGTTTTATCAATTGTACACAGTACATATTCAGATTGGCGGCCTTTACCCCCCTGTGTTTACTTTTTGCTTACCAATAAAAAAGATACCACTCACAACAGGTTTCTTGAAGCCCTGATAAGTCTTATTGGAGACGCCGTACCCGAAAAAATTCCCATTGACTTCGAACAAGCTGCCTTGAATGCATTTTCGTCCCTATATAAAACTGAAATCAAAGGTTGCTATTTTCATTTATGCAAAGCTTCCATCGCAAGCTTTCAGAGTTAGGTGTGAAAAAACCTTTGAAAACAACGCTAAGCTAGCCTTAACCTTAAAAATGATCCCAGCTTTAAGCTTTGTTCCTCCCTCAGATGTCGAATCTGTGTTTACTCTTGACATAGACAAAATGTGCCAAGCTGCCGATCAGTTTGACATTCCAACTGAAATCCTCGAGAAAATTGACAAGCTCGCATCATATTTCCAGCAGACTGATATAAAAGGAGAAACAACTGGTCCACAACAGCGTGATCCTTTGCTCCTCCCAGCTCTAAGGAATCATTACGGCAACGCGGCGGCTGGTCTCATTCGAACAACCAATGCAGTTGACGGCTGGCATAACGGCTTTCCAGGGCAGCCCTCCCTCATTTCATACGTTTTTAGAAACCATTCAGCTTGATTCTCACAAACAGAAATTCAATATTCTGAAAGCAGCCACCCATGCCGATTTCCCAGTACAGGGGGAATTTAGGGGTTTTGGGGACAATTTTTATCGATTTCGAACAAAAACTATTGATACACCGTGAAACGATCGTTTGATATTTCGACCAAGAGTCATATTCTTTAACCATATTGCCAAGCGAGCTTAGAAAGTCATATCTTTATGCTTTGATAGTTCAAAAGATTGGTAGATTTAAAACGTACGTTGAAATTTTCACATTTTGAACTGAATTTGATTTCACTCGCTTTTTTAAAACTTAGCATTGCTTTGATCGGTTTGTTCAATTTGGGCATCTTGGTTTCAATTCTTTTGATTATTCTATTGCGATATTTTAATTGTTTCGATTCCTCAGATGGGATCTTTTAATTTGCGTGGGGTACTTCGTCCTGGGCTATTTTTACTTCTGGGATGTTTTTTACTGGGATAACTTCGACGGGGATAAAAAAGGTAAAGGATATTTTGGGAAAAAGGGAGAATCTTTTATGAACTACATTTTTGAATGGAACTAACCAAACTAACGTCATCTGTTTTTCACTTCATGTGCCTTTTCGTAATAAGAAAGCTTAATTTGTCTTTCTTTTAGTAAACTAATTTATATTGGAACTTGAAAACATAAAATATCAAAAGCGGAAACTCAAATGGCGTGAAAAACAAACAAACAAAACAACCCCACGAGCTAAACAAGTCTTCATTTTGTTCATTGGCACTCAGACAATCACCAATTGTTTTTGATCAATTCTAAAGTTTTAAGTCGACAATCAAGTCGACAAAATTGAGCGCATGCCATCACTCCGCCAAATATTTATTTTTATTTCTATATTTCTATAAAACTTGCTAGTGTGAATAGTGATGCTCATCCGGTATATTTTTGATACTGATGATCTATTAGAAAATTTTCCGAAGCAATTGATGAATTGAGCACAATTCCATTCACGATTTAAGGCTACCAAAATAAATCTACACATTTACTTTGCAGCATAAAGCCATTGCCGCATAAAGCATGTCATATAAGCCGCTACCAAAGTATAGCCTTGTCCAATAAGTCTCTACTAAAATAAACTAGCATTGTCTCAATATTGCATTGTAGCATTTATAGCATTGTCGCTTAAGTCGCTACCAAAATAGAGCATTGTCTCAATAATGAATTGTAGCATTTATGGCATTGTCGATTAGATTGCTACTAAGTATAGCATTGTTGCTTAATTGCAACTAAAGTGCCTCTTCGCATCGTTTGCATTGTCGCATATATCCAAATGGGGTCTTGTTAAATTGGAATTGATCTTGTTAATTTCCATCCAATGAAACGTAGCCTTGGTGACAGGAAAAGTATCCCATACAAAGTATCTCATTCCAAAATATCCCATACCAAAATATCCCAATGGACACATGGGCCCTTACAATATAGCCCACGTCAATTAAGATTTCTCATAGAGGATTAAAAACTAATTTATGATATAGACTATCAAAGATTGGTGCATATATCTATATTGCAAAGAGATTTATTTCAACTGCCTAAATTATTTCGAGACGCCATATAGAGATAGTGCTAACGGTGAAAGACTCTTTTCTAGGGATTAAATTTTACTTTTAAACCTGGTAATGGAGTCATATTTGAGAAAATTTTGATAATGAAACACAACGCAAAGACATCATTACACACATAGCACCAACACAATTAACACCATTAAGACACAATTTATCTACGGTAAAACTCAACAAGGCAAATCGGTGCTTATCTTGGACGGACAAGGGTTCACTAAAAAGCGAGACACCAAATCTACCACTCACTGGCGTTGTGCAAAATGGCGTTCACATAAATGCCCAATGACTCTAATAACTTGCGACGAAAACATTATTTCGTTCAATTACGAGCACAGCCATGAGTTCAACCCCGGTCGCGTAGAAGCAAGGCAGCTAGTTAGTCAGTTGAAAGAAACAGCAAAAGCCTCAAGACTGTGAACAATAATCCGGCAATTCAGCTTTCACTTCCTTCACGTGCAGCCCTGACAAGAACCCTCAATAGAAACAAAATGCAAGAACCACTCGAAGTGATTTCATCGACCGACCGTCACTTCGACATTCCCGAAAAATATTTATCTTTTTGTCTACATGATAGCGGAAAAGAAGACAGTGAGCGATTTCTTATTCTCGGGAACATGGAAAATTTAAATGCTCTTTGCAGTCATAGCAAAGTTTGGCTTTGTGATGGAACTTTTAAGATTTGTCCGTCTCAGTTTTATCAATTGTACACAGTACATATCCAGATTGGCGGCCGTTACCCCCCCCCCCCCTGCGTTTACGTTTTGCTTAGCAACGAAAAGGAGTCCACTCACAACAGGTTTCTTGAAGCCCTGATAAGTCTTATTGGAGACGCCGTACCCAAAAAATTCTCGTTGACTTCGAACAAGCTGCCTTGAATGCATTTTCGTCCCTATATGAAATTGAAATCAAAGGTTGCTATTTTCATTTATGCAAAGCTTCCATCGCAAGCTTTCAGAGTTAGGTGTGAAAAAAACCTATGAAAACAACGCTAAGCTAGCCTTAACCTTAAAAATGATACCAGCTTTAAGCTTTGTTCCTCTCTCAGATGTCGAATCTGTGTTTACTCTTGTCGTAGACGAAATTTGCCAAACTGCCGATCAGTTTGACATTCCAACTGAAATCCTCGAGAAAATTGACAAGCTCGCATCATATTTCCAGAAGACTTATAAAAAAAGAGAAACTATTGGTCGACAACAGCGTGATCCTTTGTTCCCCCCAGCTCTATGGAATCATTACGGCAACGCGGCGGCTGGTCTCATTCGAACAACCAATGCATATGAAGGCTGGCATAACTGCGTTACGTTGCTTTTCCAGAGCAGCCACCCCTCAATTCATACGTTTTTAGAAACAATTCAGCTTGATTCTCACAACCCGAATTTCAATATTCTGAAAGCAGCAAGCGGTAGTACCAACCAAACCCGTAAAAAGTACCGAAAAAGTCCGAATGATAACTAACTCTCACAAAAACTCAGATATAGTAAATTATCTTCAAGCTCTGGCTCACTTAACACTCTCCTAGATTTCATTTTATCAAATTGTCGGCATGATTTTCTCAAATGGTCCGCATTTTGTTGCATTTTCAATTGATTTTCCAAAAATCATAAAGTTTTTTGCTTTAAAGCCATCGTAGAGGCACCATTTTTTGGGAGGTGATTGAGGCCAATACAACAATATTTCTGCCTTTTCCCTCACCCTGCCCCCCATGCCGGTTACCCACTACAGGGGGAATTTAGGGGTTTTGGGGACAATTTTTATCGATTTCGAACTAAAACTATTGATACATCGTGAAACGATCGTTTGATCTTTTGACCAAGAGTCATATTCTTTAACTATAATGCCAAGCGAGCTTAGAAAGTCATATCTTTATGCTTTGATAGTTCAAAAGGTTGGTAGATTTAAAACGTGCGTTGAAATTTTCACACTTTGAACTGAATTTGATTTCACTCGCTTTTTCAAAAGTTAGCATTACTTTGATCGGTTTGTTCAATTTGGGCAACTCGGTTTCAATTCTATTGATTATTCTATTGCGATATTTTAATTGTTCCGATTCCTCAGATGGGATATTTTAATTTGCGTGGGCTACTTCGTCCTGGGCTATTTTTACTTCTGGGATATTTTTGACTGGTATAACTTCGCCGGGGATAAAAAGGTAAGGGATATTTTGTGGAAAAAGGGAGAATCTTTTATGAATTACATTTTTGAATGGAACTAACCAAACTAACGTCCTCTGTTTTTCACTTCATGTGCACTTTCGTTATTAGAAAGCTTAATTTGTCTTTCTTTTAGAAAATTAATTTTAATTAGAAATTGAAAACATGAAAAATCTAAAAGCAGAAACTCAAATAGCGTGAAAAACAAACAAACAAAACAACCACACGAGCTAAACAATTATTCATTTTGTTCATTGGCACTCAGACAATCACCAACTGTTTTTGATCAATTCTACAGTTTTACGTCGACAATCAAGTCGACAAAACTGAGCGCATGCCATCAATCCGCCAAATATTTATTTTTACTTCTATATTTCTGAATAACTTGCTAGTGTGAATAGTGATGCTCATCCGGTATATTTTTGATACTGATGATCTATTCGAAAATTTTCTGAAGCAATTGATCCATTGAGCACAACCCCACTCACGATTTAATGCTACCAAAATAAATCTACACGATTACCTTCCAGCATAGAGCCATTGTCGCATAAAGCATGTCACATAAGCCGCTACCAAAGTAAAGCCTTGTCGAATAAGTCTCAACCAAAGTAAAATAGCAATGTCTCAATACTGCATTGTAGCATTTATAGCATTGTCGCTTAAAGTCGCTACCAAAATCGAGCATTGTCTCAATATTGCATTGCAGCATTTATAGCATTGTCGCTAAGTCGCTACCAAGTATATCACTGTTGCATAATTGCAACCAAAGTACCTCTGCGCATCGTTTGCATTGTCGCATAAATCCAAATGGGATCTTGTAAAATTGGAATTGATCTTGTCAATTTTCATCCAATGAAACGTAGCCTTGCAACAAAATATCCCATTTTAAAATAGAAGGCGGGAGTGGGGGGGGGGGGGGTAGTTAACAGGACCTGCCTAATGAAAAGGTGATACTTTCACACACCTTGGCTCTAGCACTTGTCTTTGAAGAGGAAGGAGTAGATTTGTTCAGATGTGTGCTTTCCACTCCACTTCTGATTCGCACAATGTCCAATTTTTCCGCCGCCCTCTTGCGGACAGACTCGATGTCTGTCACAGTGCGAGACACTTCTCTCCTCAATTCACTCAGAGAAGAGGACGAGGATAATAAAAAGCTGTCTCGACTGGGATGAGCTGACAGCTCTGCTAAAATCTGAAAAAGTAATTTTTAGGCCTAAACCATAAAAGGAGGATCTTCTCTGTTATTTGTGCTCTCCTGAAAATAAGGCAAAATCATAGTTTTAAAAATTGACTGGTTAAATTTGATTGAAAACCAATACAAATGTTTTGCTGAATATTGACTTCCTATGTTTGGGCTGTATGATAGAAAACAGCTGCTGAGGTTATTTGTATAAGCTTCAATACGGTATGTTATGGCTTACTTCCAACGTAGTGGACTTTAGCGCAGAAAGGAGCAATTTTCAAACAAAAACAAAAAAGCTTCTAAAAAAACGTTAAAAAGTCATTAGTGCGCAATAACTTATATTAACTACTGAGTAATTTTTTTTCTAAGAAAGTTTGAAAAAACCTTTCAATTTCAATCGAGATGATACTATATTGTGAATGCAACTCGACCTCTTTAACCCGTGTTAGTGTTGATTCGTTCTCGCGTCTCAATAAAAGCAAAGCCTCGTCCAGAGACTGGATCAGAATTCGGTTGTCGGCATTTTCCACTATTCTGCTAGATGCAGCAGCGTCCAAATGAGTTGCAATATCAAACGATGAATCAGCAGTAGGTTCTTCTTTGCCACTTGTTGCTTCTGTTGGATTAAGCAGTAAATTGATTGCTTCCTCCGCCTGGGTCAGATTCAGTGACACTTCCGGTAAACATTCTACATTGGAAAACGAAGGGGCTATTTTTGACAGGGGCTTTTTTTGAAAAACTTTTAAAACAGCTATTTCTTTTTTCTGAGCTCTGCCAAAACCCTAGAATAGTCAAATTTCGTTTAAAAAATGGCCGTAAAATTGACCTGTGAATAAAGAGCGCGCTTGGTGCATCTTTTTTTCCAAATTGGATCTCTCTATTCTCGCTCTGTCTAATTTGTATTCCTCTAACTGCTGAAGGTTCTTCATCACTTTGTCGAAAACTCCCTGAAATACATAAAATCAATAATGGATTTATATTTGACGCCAAGTTGTTAGCATATATTGATATAAAAAATATAAAGCATAAAAGTATTTAAAATTATATAAAAAGGTATGAAATATTTGAACGATAACCTTCATGTCTCGATTCAAGAGATCCCAACAGGAACTGAGCCGCTTGTAGAATATCCCATACTTGTTGTTCCACTGAAGCAGGAAGCGGATGGACTTGTTGCGCAACAGACTCGCGAATGCAGTGGGGGGAGGCAGCTGCTCGTAATCGGACATGATGACGTCACTGTGGCCATTAACAGAAGGGTGTGAATAAGAAGGGCAGATGCATAGACACACAAACTCCTGAAAAAAAGAGCAATCCCTTCAAATTCTGAACAGTGAAGATAAATTATGAATTACAAACGAAGGAAGAATGAGTTCCGCTCGACAAAAAAATTGATGCTGCCAACATCTTAAAAAATTGTTTAAAAAATTAATTAAAAACGTTCGAGCAAACCGTCATACTGAAGAAAGTTCAGATATTCAAACGGCATTTTTTGGAGTCAACTTACACGATACCATAATTGTTTCTCTCCTCTGGGTAGCAGAAACAGAATTAATTGAGAAGAGAAACTCGCCAACATTGACCAATTTGAGATGCAACTTTCATGAAACAGACGACTTTCAGAGATGAGTTCTGTTTGATAAAGTAGCCTTTTTATGTGAAAATTCCATTTCTTTCTTGATTTAATTTTGTCTGTCCAATTTATTGAAACTCACTATATGGAACAGTACAAAAATGCATACTCCAAGCGTCTACAGAGGACAAAAAGCAGACGGGACCTCAAATAAAGTCAAATTTTAGACAATTAAAGCGTTTTAAACCATTAAGAGAAATATTATTATGATGGTGTTTGAAATTATATAAAATCAGCCCATCATAAATGCTGCTTCAAGACCTTTATTTTTCAGTTCGGCTTGAAGTTCCGTCGGCCTGATATCGGGCACTTACCTCTAGATCAGCTATGAGCCATTTGCGGATGCGAGCGGAATTGAGGAAGAAGTGGTTCAGGAGCTGGACACACTTCCACCTCAGCTGTGAGTGCTTCCTCCGCAACTTACTCCAAACAAGGTCATAGCTCCATCTCAACTGCTTCTCTGGCTGACGACTGAAACATAGAGAGAAACAGTGCCAACAGACAGAAAAGGTCAAGGAACTTAAGTGAACCAAAAAAAAAAGATTCAATTTTTCTGAACCATTTTTTATTCATTTTCAAAGAAATATATCAACAGACGATTCTTTTAATTTCAAAATATTTTTTGCACTTTTCAGTTACAGTAGCAAGCTAATTTTGTATTGACCAATCAGATTTTTTTCTGCTCTTAAGGCTATTCTACTCTTAAGGCCATTGTTCTCTTAAGTAACAGTACGTTATTAACATTGTCAGATTAATAAAATTTCCAAAAAAAATGCTTTATAAAAATATTTTTGACTGCGTTTACTTTCATTTTTTTGTTTAACAATTAATCTTTTTCGTATTCATTCCAAAATGCACATGATTTACTGAATGAACTATTTTAAAAGATTTTCATTACAAAAGACAACTCTATCGCGACGTTCAAAAAATATGTCTGAGTATCTGCTTTGAACAACAATTTGGCAGCTGGCAACTTGAAAAGTTCAGCTCATTATACACCTAGTTTCCTAGTTTATTTGATAAGCAACCGCTTGCAATCAACCCCGCCTTACAAATTTCAAATAAAACTAATTAACTTCAAAGCAACTACTCAACCGAGTACCATCAATATTTTGTTATTACACCCTTTATTCTGACTACTTCTGACATTCTTCTTGGAAGCGATTCAAACAAACTTTTAACACAGAGGCGAAGCCAAGCTTCGCACCACTTGCGATGGAAAAATTATCAGTCAAGAAAAAGTTATCAAAAAATCAGATAACAAAATTGTTGCAAGAACATTTTTAAAATATATATAAGCAATAAAATCAGCGTACCTCCAGTATACTTTTTGAACCTGCCTGCTATGCATCGAAGTATTCTAAAGATACGCGATCGAACCATGGGTAAACTGCATTGATGAAAGGACCAAAAACCACTAACTCCGATTTACTTTTTAAATTAGTAAATGAAAGACACAAAAATACAAAACAACATTATTCAAATTTTCACAAGCCAAGACAAATAAGATTAGAAACACAACAAGTGTGATCTTAAAACGATTCTAAAACACAACACAAATGAGAATGAGAAATTTCGCAAAAACTTTCGAAAATCAATTCCAAAACAATCAAAAACTTATAACTTATTCTTTATAAGTTCAACAAAAAAAAAGATTTAGAAAAAAACAAATGAAACAAAAAGAACAAGAACTATACGCTGTTGATGAAAAATTAACTAATTTTAAACAGCTATGAAGCCAAAAAAAACGCCGATTTTCATTTCCAAGAAAAAATCCGATCAGAGAAGACCAACAAGTTGACTGAAAAAACAGTTTACCAAAAAGTCAAACCAAAAAACAACCAAATATTTAAGAAAAACATAAACCATTGAACTATTTTTAGAAAAATGTAGCCCGAGAACAGATCAAAATTGACTAAACATGAGAAAAAGCTAAAACCATTTTTTAATTAGCGGACAAAAAAAGAAAAAGGATAAATTCGTCTAGCAATTCTGAACACAATTATCTAGAAATTGATTTTGAACATTTCTGATTTGTAGCACTTGATGCTTGCTTGGTTCCCGTTTTTACCATCCTAATACAACGAAACTAGGCAAAACTGAAGGAACAAAAAATTGCAGACAGCAACTCAAATTGACTTTGCAAAACAAGGAACTCGACTAGCAATTTCAATTTAACTTGCAAAAAATTTTGAATATTAATATTTCTGATTTGCTGGTAATTCAAGCTTGCTTCGTTCTCGTTTTTGAATTGAAACCTCTTCTTTTCAAAAAAAACATGGACTAAAAAAATGAGATCATGTTTTCAATTGTTGTAGAAAAACTTAACAAACATGAACAAAAAAATTGCGAAAACTCAATTACCTACACCAGAAAAAAAAACAATAAGAACAGCTGATTGAGCAAACAAAAGCATAAAGGGTTGAAAGCAAAGTTATTTTGCAACCTGAAAACAAAAACAAAAAAATTTTTGAAAAAATTTTTTTTTTGAAAAGATTTCTCAAAAAATTCGAAAAACTTATAATTTTTTTTTCAATTTTAAAATTTTCACATTTATTAGGAAGGATCAGGGAAAGTGATTTAGATTTGTTCAAAACTTTTTGTGAGACTTCGACCATTTTTATAAAAACCAACAAAAAGCAATTGAAAAAAAAATCATTCAGAAAATGAGCCGACGGAATAAAAGCCGACACTCCGAATACTGTTGAAGGAACTCATAACAATCACTTAAGGCCCATACCTAACCTAATATGCACATACTACTCTTACCTCTACAGTAAAACCCGTGCGAATTCACGTGCAGATTCTATGGCCACAGTTGTTTATGGGAAAAAAGTGTAGTACCCAGTTGAAATACCCTTGCTCATGGCAAAGGGTAATAAGCTTTTGGCCAATTTCCAGCAACGATTTGTACCAATTTGTGCCATAAGTCGTCTGTAGTCTCAACTGCAGGTTTTCTAAATTCCGGTTGGATAACGAACATTTATTATCTATAGATGTTAAACTGTCAACAAGAACAAAAAACCGCTTATGATCGACCTCGAGCGCGCGAACTTTAGACAAGTAATTCAACTCTTACCAGCATCATATACCCGATTTTAGTTAACTAGTGATTGATCTTCTGTTAACTTACCGCAAAATTTCCATCAGTTGGACAACGAGTTGAGTGTCGAAATCATCACTGGTCAACACCAGATCATTTATCAGATTCCGGATCTCTGTTTGAATTGTGTTGTCTTCAATTGAGCTAAGTGCTTTTTCTTTCGCTTTTCGAGTGCCCTTGCTTACAGCCGCCATTGAAATGACCTTAAACGTTGTTAACTTGTTCTGCGCTATTTCAACTAAATTAGGTCAAGTGAATTACTTTCCAATAGATTAGCCACTTGCTGCTAATTTTTATATTCCAGTAAATAATTACCCACTTACTACTAAATTTCGATTGCTTTTGCTCTTTTGTTTTCGAAAAAAAATTAGCTGTTAGATGACAGTCTATAAAAATATAATTTACTTGGCATGCAATTTCTGCACAAGCGAAACAGAGCTTAGCGTTATATCACTTGAGCAATGAAAAAAGAAAACGTTTATTTCGATGGCTTGCATCGCAAAAATGGATAGTACTGTTTTGTAAATTATTGCGTGTAGAAACAATATTAAATGTATAATTTCAATCATCTGCACTCTAGTCAGTCGGCGATTCAGGAGGGTGGGGTGGAGGATGCGGATGCTTTTCCCTAAGGGTTTCGACTATTTTACATCCATTTTTGGTCGATCAACCCAAGAATTTTTCAAGGCTGCCATTTTTAAAAAGTTGAAAAAAATGATATTTTTGGCCTGTTATATTTTCAATAAACTGAAAGATAACTCAGAAGGAATTGTTTAAAGAATCGACGGAACTGACTTAAAAGATGAACTCCGATTGGCAAAAAATAATGAAAGATTTCCGAAAAAAACTGAGAACGTACAAGCGAGTAACGCACCTCCGGTGCTTTGAAAAAAGTAATGAACGTAAAAACTGCTTAACGATAAATTTTAAAGAAAAACTACGAAAAAATTCAACCGTAACAAAAGACGTGCAACCGTTTCAAACTTCGTAAGTTTTTAATATCTAAATTTGGAGACAAGATTTGCCACTCCTGAGAACACCCTGAAAAACCACAAAAATTGCTGCAACCCCTGGGGATCCCTCAAAACATCCTAATATTGGGTCACTAATTTCAAACTTGGTGACATGAATACTCATAAAAAAAATTTTAAGCATCGCAATATACGATATAGCTTAAATGTGAACAAATTCTTTCATTCAGCATGGAAAATTAATACGTTGAGAAAACTTAACCATGGCGAGATTAAAAAAAAACCCGCTACTAAATATGCAATAAATTGATAGATCCGATAGCTTCTCAAAAAAAAATGCAAAAACTAACCCAACTAGGGAAAACTGGATCGAAAGATATTTTTATTCCGCTGTGAAAACTAAACAGAAAAGAACCGAAAACTCATGCTCCTTTTTTTGCAAAATAAAGTTTTAAAAAACTGGAAGGCATACTTGGTCTTTTTTTGGCTTGTTTATTGAGAGTGAACTTTTAAAAATACAATCAAAAATCAAGCCGTCAAAGAACAAAACTGAGCGCGCGCGATCATTTTTCATGAATGCTCTCAAAAAAATTCAAAAAAACCCACACAACTGAAAAGGCTTTTTTGATAACTTAAGCAACTATCCAAAAATGATGAACAATTTCACAATTTCCTTGTTTTAATTTAAAGGATAGAGCTGTAATCATCTGACAACAATTTTTTTTCAAAAAAAATAAATAAGTTCCAAAAAAAACAAAAAAATTTCAACGTTTTTCTCGACACTTGAACGTTTTTCTAAAAATTAGCGTGTTATATGCAGGTCAAAATGTACCACAGCAAAGCCAAGCGACAGTTGGAAAAAATTGCAATAAAATGAAAAAGACAACTATTTTCAAAATATTTCCAAAAAAATTGTTATGGACTTCAAGCTTTTTAAACTTCTAAAACCTATCAGTCTTAATATTTTTTTCAAAAAACTGGATCAATCAGTGATTTTAATTTGGATTGAAATGAACTTCAAAGGAAACCCAAAACCACGGAAAAATAAATGATCGTGAATAATATTTATGGACTTTCTCCAGAAAAAATGGCTACCTATATGTGTTTTCACTTCACTTCGATCATTGAATTCTTAAAAATTTTTGACATGAGATGTTACTCAAAACAATTTCAAAGAAAACAATGATTTTCGGATGCTGTATCAGAAGCACAAAATGCCACGACCACCATGCATGAGAAAAACATGCAAACAAGGCGAAACTCTGTAGTTTTATTTAGTAAAAGGCAATTAAATTAGGTTAAAAAATCAGAATGAAAAGTTATTTTAACAAAACAACGTCAAAATTGCAGCATAATTGAATCGAAGATCATCAACATTGAGTTGTCAGTGTCACCAAATTTTGTCATACTCAGTCCAAAAATCGGAAAGATTCCGACCGCCTTCCATGAAGTGGTCAAAACTCGTATGAAAAAACACCCTCTACACCATTGTTGTTTTCCGTCAATTCGTGCCAGCCGGTTTTCAGTGCAATTAGCACAGAATATTCCAACCAAAATTATTTTCTTAAAATGCGATATAAAATTTTGGCAATTTTCGTTGCTTAAATTTGCTGTTTTTTTTACGAGAGCGCAATCGCAATTGAACCAGGCAAAAACATAGCCAACAGACAGTTGGAAAAAGTCAATAACACAAGTACACAGAAAAACAAACTGACTTGTTTTTTTTTTTGAAAAATCGCAACTTTCGAATTTCCCAGCAAACATTTTATGGCCTTAAAAATCTTGGAATTTCTAGAACAATTTATGATTAGCACTTTTTCGATAAAATTAACCCAATTCGAAAAAAAATGGATCAATAGGTAAACTGGATCAATTAAATTTCGAAGTTAGAAGTCGATTACGTTTTTCATGAACTTTACACTTTCGCTGTTCGATATAGGAGTTTGCTTTCCTTTTAACAAAGGAAATGAAATGGACTTTTAAAAAAATTAAAAGTCAAACCGCAAAAAAAAGTAAAATTCAAGCCTGAACAAACTTTGAAACTTTTCCCGAAAAGAAAATGAAAAAAAAAACATCTCGACCTATATAATAGTCCGAACTACCTTCATTGACTATTTAAACAAGGCAGAGCGGTAAATTTAGTTAAAAGAACGCCAAAATTGTAGAAGAACCTAACTTGGGTGTCAGCCTCTCAACAAATCTTTGGAAATCCTTTTAGAACACACAATCATGACTAATAGGGTTTTAATATGATACCACACTTGACCCCTACGAGCTATTTGAGGTAGTCAAAATTGACTGGGAAAAAAACGAAACCGGTGACGTGGTCCGAACAATAAAACTGAGTGGCATGAGCCCGGCTTTAATATTTTCTTTATAAAAAAAAACATTTTCCACTTCCTTGTTCTGTGTGGAAAATGATTCAAGAGGGTAACTAATCAATTTCCCATTCCACTAGTTTTTCGTTTAGCTTCAAATTTATGCTTGCAAATAATTATTCGAAAAGGTTGGAAAATAAGAATTTTAGAGCATAAATTATCTAATTGCAGGTATTTATAATCTAAATTGGACAATGGATACCAGACCAGATGCGATACTGCGCGAAGAAACGAATGCAACAAAGAGAAATCAGAGACCATTAAAAGACTGTGTCCAGTTGAAATGGGAAGAAAAGAGAGAGACATGTTGCTGCTATATACACCTCCCTCGTCATGTATAAGTACGACAGATAGAAACTTAGTTTACAATCAGAAATATTCATAATAACACTATATCTAAGCCACTTGTTAATACTGAAACTGTAAACTTTTTCAACCATGTGAAAGTTAAAAATAATTAACGGGTAAAGAATCATATGCATAGAACATAAAAGTGTACATATTCATATTATGAATTTATTTCAAAGAAAGATTTTTTTTACTATTTTGATAGCCATACTGCATAATAAAATGGTGGGTTAAGGATTGTATTGATCGAAAGAAAAATCTAACACTGAAACATAAATAACAGCCGTTCACTCCGTATTCAATTAGGAAAGACACTTAAAGTTTCTAAAGCTACATAAAATGAAATTAATACAAAGAAACTTGTTTTCTAAGTCTACAAAAATATAGAACATAATGCATCAGAAAAGATACAAAAATAATCAATTGTTTTGAAAATTGAAATTTATTTTAAATTTTCAGTTTGAAAAAGTCCTATCACGTTTTGTTTTCAACTGAATCTGCTTTGGAGGTTTCTTCCGTCGTAGCCACAGACACCGGCGGTCCCTCCGTCTCAATTGACTTACTCGAGTTTTGTTGTTGAGCAGTGAAACTTTCTGTACTTTTCGATACAAGGTTACTTTGACTAGTGTCCAGCTGTGGTGCAATATCATGCACAACAGCCGATTCCTGATTCAAATGCTTTTCGGATTCATTGCTTGATGCAGTTCCTGATGATTCTACAGATTGAGTCGGTTCGCCAAGAGTCTCAGAGCAATTCAGTGCTTTCAATACCTCGCTTGCGTTCGGTGCCGGCAAAATAGGGGCAGGTAACACTTTCTTCTGGCCAGTACTGGTTGATTTTTTAGATCCGCTGCTATTGGCCGGCTTTCCCTGTTTCTTCGGAGCAATTGGTTTCGTTGTTGAAACTGCTTGCTTCATACTATTGTCAATACTGCCACTGTTTGCCTTTCCAGCTGAAAAAGGTGTCAGAATGAAATTAGCTCCCACAGGCGTTTGTTTCCCGTCGCTCGCTAACTGGAACGTCGTTTTGCCAGCCGATGTTGCGGGAATAATAATAGCCGAAGGCTGCGGACTATTCTTCGCAGCCGGTATCACTGGCGCTACAGCTGCCGGTTTGGCACTGGCTGGGAGAATCGTTCGGTTTTTATGCAAGATCATTTCCATCGCCTTTGTTGGAACTGCTGGTGCAACTGGCTTTGACTGGGATTGATTTTGACTCCCAGGTTTCGTACTGGTGGTAGTAGCTACTAATGTTTGTCCATTTAGCTCCATTAGAGGAAATGTTTGGGCTACCGTTGGAGATCCCGTTGTAACATTTTTCCCTGTTGATTCTAAACTTGAACCAGATGCTAAGGTTGTCGCAGCTGTAATGTTCCTCATTACAGGTGCAATCGCAATTGGAACATTAGACGATAGGTTCGCATTTCCATTTTGGATCAACGATGTTGCAGGATTAACTGGGTTTGACGAGGAGGAACCCAACGTTGTCTGTTTCCCACTGTGTACAGATGAAGTTCCGGAGTTTCCAGGTGTGCTCGAGTGTTGGTTCTTCTTATGGTATGCGAGTCCAGCTCGTTGAGCAAACCTCTGCTTACAAATCTCGCACTCATACGGCTTGTTTCCATTGTGGAGATTCATGTGATCCTGGAAATAGTTTTTGTCCATCCACTTGAAACAAATCTGACATTGAGTCTGCTTTGGTTTCTTGTCCCCATTTTGTCCTTGAGAATCATTCATCGAAGCCGTCGTTTCAGATAAGTTTTGAGCTGCAGCAGCTACTGATATTGTCAAGGCTTTTGGCTCACTACCTGTTGTTATGAAGGGCTGTGGCGCTAGTGTTGGATTAGAAGAAACGTTTTCCGGTTGTATTGCAACTGCGGATGCCTCCGATTGAATCAGGTGTGAGTTTGAAACCGAAACCACGGCTGGATTGAGACTGACATTACTGATACTTTCGGGATTAGAACTTATTTTCGGACTGTTCTTCGCGGATTTTTTCTTCACAGGTGTAGTGGTAGTGGTTGGGCTTTCACAAGCAATACTCTGTTTTGATATAGCTGCTATGCTTTTTTCTACGGGCTCTATCGTCACGCTAGGCGACGAAGTTTTATCCGGCGTCGGCGGCGGCGGTTCGTTTTGTCTCATCGGAGAGCAAGTAAGCGGGACCAGTTGGCTTTCTTTGACTACGACACTGTGTGCTGACCTGAGATGTTCGGCTAGCACACTGGCTCTTGGAAACTGGTATGTACATAGCTGACACAGATAAGGAACTGCGGATGAATGGTCGCCTGACATGTGTAGAGTATATTGCTTCATAGATTTAATTTCAATATTGCATTTGTTACACCTAAGAGCAGAGTTAGCTGGATCTATTGACGAAGCCTCACCAGCCCCGGTTCCACATCGCTTTACGTGATTATCTAATGCCTGCTGACTAGAAAAACTTTTGCTACACAATTCACACTTGAACGGTTTCTTTATATCATGTTTCTCTGCCAGATGTTTCGACCACCTATTTGCATGGTTGAACTCGACTTGTGGATCGCAATGTTCGCACACAAATGTTCTTGCTACCTTCAATTTGCGTTTTTTGTCTTTATCTTTACTATGTGATTCTGATAAGTTAAGTGACTCGACATCGTTATTCGTCGCTCCTTTTCCAGACGACAAAAACTCCTTGTCCATAGTGCTATTTCCATAGTCTCCCTGCAGAAGAATTTGTTCCGATGAGAACTCCGCAATAGCCTGCAGCGCCTGTGATGTTTCTGCATCCATTGAGCACGACTGCTGTTGTGCATAAATAGCAGTACTATTCGACACCGAAGTTTCGTTTTTGTAATCAACGGTGCTCGAGTCTTCATTTTCGGGTCCTTTTTGAACCCACGCTTCTTCATTTTGAGACTTAAACTTACCAGTTTTTACATCAGCGGCAGCTTCCACTGATTCCTGCTTCAAAACAGGCTGTGTTTTATTGCTCAAAACTGGCGGAGGCAAAATATTGTTGGAATGTTTATGTTTTAAATGGTCCAGAGGATTGTAATGTGCCAGGGGTTTATTTACAAGGTTATGAGCCAATGGCATTTCGTCGGGTTCGCCATCGTTTTCTGATTGTTCAACTCCACTGACGTCATTTTCAGAGCAGCGATCTGATTGGCTACTTATACGTTCCTCCTCTTCGTCCTCGTTGTCATCTGCATGACGCATTTTTACATGCTGCGACATCAGAAAGTATCTTTTGAAAGACATTTCACAACTTTCGCACTTCCACGGTTTTTCTATTTTATGCACGTCTGTCATGTGACGTTCGAACTTTGCTACCATTATGAACTTATCCAAACACAAATGACATTCGAACTTTTTCTCCGGCTTCTTTTTAATTTCGGGGGACATTTTTGACTGATCAGTTAGTGAGCAATTTTCAGCATCATTCGAAGTTGGTTCAACTTCAGCATTCAAACTTTTAGTGGCTTCTTTCACTTTCTGAGAGGGAAACTTCTTGCTCTCATTGGCCAATATCTCAGCTATAACCTTTTCATCGACCTCGTTTGTGTTTTCTTCTGCTTTCTGATTTGACTTCGTCGGAGTCTTTGACCTTCCTCTTCCCTTTGAGCCTTTTGGACTTGATTTTGACTTCGAACTTTTACTTTCTTTTTCCTTTTGAGATTTTTCTTTCGTGGGACTCTTGGACGCTACCGGCGACTGCGATGCATCCTTTCGAGGTCTTCCTTTACTGGACTTACCCGAAGACCGAGTTGACGAAGGAACCGGCAACGGACTCTGCGACTCCTCAATCTCTTCTTCATCATCCATCATCTGTTCTGGTTCAATTTCTATTTCCAGTTCCTCCTCAACTATTTTGGGCGACTGTCCTGGCTTCTTTTTGCCCTTCTTTCCTTTCACGTTTTTCTTCTTCTTTTTCTTCGAGTTCGGCAACTGAGCTCCATTTCCATAATCAGGATCACTTTCATTAGACGCGTTCAGATGCAGATTCTGCATGAATTCTTCGTCGTTCATATAGTCGTCATCATCCGCATCAAACTTCATTTTAATTTCACTGCCATCATCGTCCTCAATTGAGATTTCGATTTCACTTTGGCGATGAGCCGATCTTCTAGGGGAGGTCTTTCTAGTCGAACATGGCAACTCAGTACTTCCAGACGCATTTCCCTTCTTGCTACTTCCCTTTTTACCGGCCTTCTTTTTCTTGCCCTTTCCACTTTTGTCTTTCTTGGAAGATCCTTTCTTTCCTTTTGAATGTTTTGCTGGTTTATCTTCCACTATTTCTTCTTCTTCGTCATCCTCTTCTTGATTGTCGTCTTGATTTTCTTCCATAATTTCCTCTTCTTCTTGGGGCAAATCTAGCTTTTCTTCCATTTCAACATTCGCTACTTCTTTTTCAGACTCGATCCTGGCTTTCTTTCTCTCCGGCACACTTTCGTCGTCCACAGCTGAACAATCTGGTTGGTTTTCGCTATCTACTATGTTTTCCGGCTTTTCTGGCAGTTTCCGTTTGGATTTCAACTTCCGGGCACCGCTAAACAGTTCGTACTCAACAAACTCTGAGAGATCTTGTTCAAAATCTACTTGATAACTCAGCTCAATCGCTTCATTTCTACATTTGTCAAAGTAGAGAATTTTGTCTTCTTTATCATGCTCTTTTTTGTAATGCGACTTCAACTTTCCCAGTTCCTTGTAACCAATTGCGTCGCAAAGTTTACACCTCCAAGGTAAGTTATCTTCGTGGTACGACTTTCGATGGGTTTCATAAGCCGAACATTCCAGGAAGTACTTCTTACAATCTCTACACGCGTTGTGAGTAATGTAAAAGGGGATGTCTTCAAAGTAAATAGTTCTGTGCACTTCTTTCGCAATCGGAGAGGCGCTCTGAGACGAACTTTTCTTGCCACCTTTTTTCTTTTTCTTATTTTTCGACTTTACTTTGACGGCAGGAGTCGGCGGCAGTTGTTCTGAGTCGGTTTCGGCGCCTTGGTCGCTCATATTTTCCAGATTCTCAGTCTCGGATTCTGGGTTATGCTCTTGGATTGCAATCGGAGGCAGGGGTCGCTTAGAGGAAGCTGTGGGCGATATCGTCACTAATTTCTCTTTGGGTGCTTCTACTATGGGAGACACCAGCAGGTGATTTGGTAGCAAGTCTTCATTCACACAAATCAACACTTCTGTTTCTGGCTGAATACTGCACATGACACGGATTATGTACTCATTGTCCGATTGAAATAACAGGAAGCAATTCGGCTCAATTCCCTGCTCTGAATAGCCAGAATTGATAAACATCATCCACCGAGGCGGTGGATTGATACTATCAGGGAGAAAATAGTAAGTGTTGCTACTTCTCAAAGACCTCACTAGCCAATGATCATCGGCTGTGTCCGGTACTATAGTTCCACTCTGGCAAAGTCTACCTTTGAAAGGACCAAACTCAGAGGCAGACGGAATCTCTTCCCGACCCCAAACACCCAGTCGGATGCCACCCTGTGGTGCCTTCGAAGCTCTGATTACCAACTCGCGCGGAACATTCCTACAGAACTCTTTAACTTCAGCGTCTACAATGAACAATTCGTCTTCAGCTGAATTTGCTGTTTGAGTTTCGATACTCATTTTTGTAATTCCCGTATACTTATTAAGCTTTTCTGAAATTGCAACGACGTCTATTGATCTTGAAGTAAACTCTGTCGCTTGAGAAGGGGAGCCACATTTTTCAATAATCGTAGCTAAGTGACGCAGTTCATCCGAAAAGGTAAGAATGCGAGGAGTTTTCGGAGTCTGGGGTGTATGTTCTGCGGGTGAATGGTAGGAAGCTATAGACTGAGGCTGTCTGGGACTCTGTGCCACTGCATCTACAGATCCAGGAGCATGACTCGGTACGCTCGGTGGGTTTTGCAATTGAGTTTGCTGTGTTTGTTGGGGCTGCGCTTGTTGCAGTTGTTTTTGAACCTGAGACGTAGCTTGAGGCACTTTATTCTGCTGTTGACAAGAGTATGGGTCTGAAGCATGCCTATTTTTCTCAGAATGCTGGTTTGATGCGCCCTGGCTATTGCGTCTGGCATTGCCACTTGGTTGCGGAGCAGCAGTTTGAGCTAAAGGAGACGCTTGCTGTGGTTGCTGTTGAGCTTGTTGCAACTCCAGATGTGCTGCAGCCGCAGCAGCTGCTGCTCTTTGATGTTGCTGTTGCTGAGCGACTGTCTGCGCTGAAGACTGCGCCGAGTGTTGTTGTTGTTGCTGCTGCTGCTGCTGTTGGACAGCTTGCTGCTGTGCATGCGCTGCCTGCTGTAAATGTTGCTGCTGCTGATGTTGCTGTTGTCCGTGAGAAATTAACGAAGACTCAAATACTGAGCTGACAACATCTTGACTAATGGCGGGGTTTAGTGACAACCCATAGTCTCTAGCTGTCAGGCCAGAAAGAAGGGGCTCAGTTCCGGAAGACCCAAAACCTTGCGTGAACAGATTTGAATATGCGGACGCTGAGTGCGCCAAAGGATCTTTAGACATGAGGCCTCCATTGCTTCTGTTAAGATCCGAGAAATTGGGTGCGGCTACAGATGAGTTTTGCCTGTAGAGATCGTATGGATTATGCGCGACTGCAGCAGCCGTGGTGTTATAAAAAGATCCGGTGGAAAACTGATTCTGAATCTTCTGCATTGAAGCATAGTCCATTGCGGGATTTCTTGACAGAGTATTGGATCGGTCGTAAGGCGATGGGGCATAGGATGCAACCATTTGGTTGTATGGATTACCGGCAGCGTTCATCACTGCCTGGAGTCTGTTGGTTGGGTTAGTATAGTTGGCAGCAGCAGCGGCGGATTGAAATGGACTGGGACTGTTGATGTTTCGTTGGCCGTTAGGCCACATACTGTACATATGTGAAGGGTTCATTGCAATCTGAAACCAGGTTCTTCAGATCCTAAGTAAATACATCAGGTTACCTTAAATGACTTTTGTACCTTTCTCTTTAGTTTGCTTAAGGCTGTTGCAACTTCTCTCCAGATGATGAGGACGAGGAGTAAAAAAATACACTAAAGGATTGAGCGGGACATAATGCCGAAGGCCATACTTTCTTGTTTCGAAAGAATATTACCAACAACTTAAGATTTTCAAAGTCAAAAAGAAAATACAAAATCAACCATTAAATTGAATGAAAATGAAAGAACGATACTAAAGCGACGTTTCTTTGTTCGGATGAAATCATGGCTTCCGGGTACTTTTCAGTTCATTTCGCTCATTTTTACTCCTTGTTGCTGCATAGTCCGAGCTTCATTCTGGGTGCTGCTCTACCAGTGCGTCAGGGGACAGAAGCTACTCTGCTCAATATTAAAAAATCCTTCTTGATATTTTGACTACTTGAATGTTTCTTCGTACTTATTCGCGTCTTTCAAACTGTTTTTGGAGTTGGTGGAGTCTTCTGAATCTAGTCTCCTTTCCAATTCTATCCTCTCCTTTCAGAAGCTTATGTAACTATTATTACTATGACGCAAATTATAAAATTGCAAATGTATGATTGGTTGACTTTAATATTTTGAGATTGCATAACCTGATAATGCAAAAACGTTTTTAACGGAATCTATCATCACACAACCGAATAAATCATCGCAGAGTTTGTTCGTTGTAAATCTAGTATTCTCTCCTCTTCAAAGGTGGCTGAGTTGCTGAAAAAAAAAAAACTATGGCTTGGAATCTTCTGAACTTTTAGCACAATTTTGATGTCAACACAAACCTCGTTGTATAGATTGGAAAAATTATCTCTGATGTAACTATGCCTTAAATGCGTAAATATTCCCTTTGTTCAGTAGCGCATATAAGAGATTGGTGAAGGCACTATATCAAAGAAATAGATTAAAAAGAACTGCAGAAGAGAAGACATGCCGACTTGTTTAACAAGCTACTCGGCTTAGGAGTGCTTATTATTCCTACAAAATGTGATTTTTTTGATGCAAAACTCTCAGCTGAAACTGTTAAAGACTGAAACATCTAAGGCTAATGAGGACAGAAAAATGTACGAGATATTGGAGAAGGCCCATATCGATGGTCAATTGCGGTCATCCCTTTTCCGTTGTGTGGTGCGTCGACTGAAAGACTCGGAGGGAAAATACTGCAAGGTACTATTGTGTGTTGTGACGAACTAATTGTGGTAGCCTAACTAAATGTGGTAGCCTAACTGTTGTGATAAACTTACTAAACAGATTTGTCTATTACCCATTCACATACCGAAGAAGAATAACGGAAGTGTTTAAACATTACAAGACGAGGACTTGAAAAGGCCAGAGGTGAATTTGTCTTCAGAACTTGCAGGCTTGTTAATCAAATCGAGAAATACATCGACATCAGTAAACCTAACGGATTGAAAAGTAGATTCATGAAATTCATGTGCAAATTTGTTGACGAACGATTCTCAGAAGTGTCTGCACGTGGCAACTAGCTTGACAAAAATATTTTACAACTGAGACCATGCGCCCTTCAGCTTTTTTCTTTTTTTTTCTTTTTAAGGTCGTCGTCGTCGTCGTCGTAGGGCGTTTTCGAGCATTACTGCCCATTGCCCGCCATATGTATATCTCTCACAATTGCTTTCCACTGCGGCCTGTTCAGTGCAGTATCTTTGGCCAAATCGAACCAGCTTGCCTCCCAGTTCTTGTGGGTCATTTTTTGGGGTTTCAAGAATGGGCGGAGTTCCTTCTTCACTAACCGTCTCCACGAGTTCTTTACTCCACCGGGGGGTCTCTTCCAGTTGTCGGCTTTCTCAAATTCCAGGCATGCGTTGGGTATCATGTTGGGTTCCATGCGTAGGGTGTGCCCTAGCCATTTGAGGCGTCTTTGTTGTACGGTGGAACTCATGGTGTCTGTCGGAGCACCAAGGTTTCTCATGCATCTGCAGTTGAAAGAGTCGAGGCGTTGAGTATCGGATGCCGTGACTGGCCAGGATTCACATCCATACAGGAGCACGCTTTCGACACATGCTTTGTTTACTTTCGATTTGATTCTGGTCGGGACTGATCTTTGTTTCCAGAGCTTGTCTAATTGTTTGAAGCGTCGTTGCTTTTCCGAGGCGGATCTGGATTTCGTGTGACACGTCACCATCGAGTTGCAGGTTGCTGCCTAGATAGGTGAAAGTATTCACCCTATCGATGGGGGCGTCATTGCAGGTCATTTGGTCTCCAGGATAAGCAGAGCAGAATTTCGTTTTAGATGTGTTTATTTCAAGACCGCCTTTTGCAGCGGCGCGAGTGACTAGATCAAGAAGTGTCTGTGCGTCTTTGATATTGTCTTCAAGTAAACAGATATCATCAGCGAAGTCTAGATCTGTAATTACCATATCGTCAAGAGCGATGCCAAGGGGTTGGTTTTCCGTTGCTTCGAGCAATGCCCAGTCGATTACAAGGTTGAACAAGAATGGTGCAAGAATCGAACCTTGTCTGACCCCTGAGACAATGGCAAATGGGTTAGATAGTGAGTTGTAAACCCTGACTGTACTAAACGTTTCTGTGTACATGGCTCTTAGGATTTGGAGGATTTTGGATGGGAGGCCGTGACTCTCGAGGATGCACCAGATTGTCTCGCGGTTGACGCTGTCAAACGAAGCTTTAAAGTCAATAAATACGAGAACAGTCTGTCTATTGTATTCGTGTCTTTGTTCTACTATTTGTCTGATTGCAAATATTTGATCGCGACATCCGCGCTTCTTTTTGAAGCCAGCCTGGTTGTCTCTAGCAACTGTATCATAGGCTGGTTCGAGCCTGTTTTTGAGGATCGCCTCTAAGATCTTGAAAGCGATATTCAAGAGTGAGATGCCACGATAGTTTGAGCATTTGGCTTTGTCGTCTTTTTTGTTTTGTGGATGGGGACTATGACTGCTGTCTTCCAGTCATTTGGAATCTTCTCCTCTTTCCAAATAAGTGAGAGAAGGCGTTGCAAGTGGGGAAGAACTCATGTTGGCCATGAATAAAAAGTTCCGGGGGGATATTATCATTTCCTGCTGCTTTGTTTGTCTTCAATTTTCTTATTGCGAGCGAGATTTCGTCCAAACTGGGTGTATCAGTGTTGATTTGTGAGAGGGCTTGGCTGCGAATTTGAGGGGTCGCTAGATTTTTTGTTGGCCGGTTTAGTAGTTGTTCGAAATGGTTGGCCCATTGTTTAATTTTGTCATTTGTATCAGTGATAAGTTTTCCATTCTTGTCTTTCACTGTATCGATGTTTGGGGCTTTTGTTCCGGTTAGTTTCCTTACAGCATTGTGTACTCTTCTCGAGTTTCCGTTTGCATCTGCCGCAATGAGATCATCAGCGATGGTCTCGTAGAAGTTCTTTTTATCTACCCTGACCGACCGTTTGATGTCCCTGGAAATGTTTTTTTTTGGATTTTGCTGTCCTGGCCCTGGTTCGTTTTTCCACCAGTTGTAGGGTCGTTGGCGAGATCCAAGGGTTCCGGATTGACTTCTTTTTGGGAATGTTATTTTCCGTTGATTTTGTCAGCGCGTGTTTGATGCCCGTCCAGTAGCCATTGACGTCGCTTTCGTTTTGCAGGCTACCCAATGTGCGGTTTAGATCCTTGCGAAAGGCGTCGGAGACTTTTGGGTTTCTAAGTGTGTTGACATCATGTCGGAAAGATTTGGGGGCTTTTGTGTATACCTTCAATTTGACCTTCAGCTTGGCTTTGAGCATCTTGTGGTCAGACTGAATTAGGCAGTTTTTTTGGCCCACCGTTCGGACATCATCTATGCCAGATCTCCATCGTCTGGATATCAGGATGAAGTCAATCTGGTTTTGCGTTCTTCCATCGTTGGATATCCATGTTGGGAGTTTGTGCACCGATTTTTGAAATGTGGTGTTCGATAAGACGAGGTTGTTGTTCATTGCGTAGCTGATGAGTCGATCACCATTGCTGTTGCGATCGCCAATGGTGAATTTTCTAATGTTGGCTGCTTCGGAGTTGCATCTACTTCCAATTTTTGCGTTGAAGTCGCCTGCAACGATCATCAGATCCTTTTTTTGGACCAAGCCCGTCAGCTTGGAGAGGTCATCATAGAACTCATCTTTGATTTCGTTTGCTTTGTCTTCAGTTGGGGCATAACTACAGATAATTGAGAGGGGGGCTGGTTTGGCATGGATGCGGATGTAGCATAGGCGTGGTCCCATTGGTCTCCACTCCATAATGTGGTTGGCTAGTTTTGTTTCAACGGCTATACCAACACCAAGGAGCCCCTGCTTGTCATCGTATCCGGAGCAATAAAATTTATAGGAGGGAGTGTCTGCAACATCGTTGATGTTGATGGAGGGGGATCCTTGGAATCGGGTTTCTTGGATGCAGGCCACTTGAATATTCAGTGATTTTAGCGTTGAAGCCATTAGTGCGAGGCTTTCCGGTGGAAGGAGTGTGCGTGTGTTCCAAGTAGCTAGATTGATTTGAGATTTGGAATGATTGACCGACTTGGCTTTGCTCCCCAATGCGGCTGAGTTGGGGGCCCCAGGTACCGCGGGAACCGTAGCTGACAGTGAATTGTTTGATCGAGTTTTCATATGGGTACATGGCTGAATACATCCGAGGGTTCGCCACTCCCTGGGATGCCAGAGCTCCGTTAGCCCCACACTGCTGGCAGCAGTGCAGGTACACCCCTGCACCACGATGAGGAGGAGATGGGTTCTACAGGGGATGAGGAGGAGATGGGTTCTACAGGGGTAATTTAAGGTAATCAGAAGGTCAAAAGTATCATAGTAACCGAGGTTACAGTCATGAGTCCCTTCATCATGTATTCCAGTCAAAATCCTTGGAATTTTTTAGATATGGAAGTGATAATGATAAAAGAAGATGACAAGTGTTTAGGTCCTTTTCAATTAAAATCGATACGGGTTACGTTTCTTCAATAAGAACACGCAACTCGACACGAGATAATAAAATATACAAATGTTACAAGTAAAAAACTTCGTCGAAAGTTATTTTGTCATTCATTGTTCCGAGTACGCAAGCGGCGTTCGCAATCTGTATTGCCAGGGAGATTCTCTGTTTTGCCTGCTCTGGGTTCCTCAGTGCATATGCTTAGGTTCTTACAAAGTTTGCTCAAAAAAACTTTTGTGCTGGCGCCGGCCGCGCCCTGAATTACAAAAGCTAGCGGTTGAAAAAGATATCCATCATTTACAAGATCTTTATACTTGTCAATTTTTCGCTCTTCCGCTTCAGCGGCAGCCGTACCAGGGTTACAAACAGACCCCGCATTAATCCTACAAGGAGCTAAGGAGTCTACTACCGTTACATCCCACAAGAGCTGCTTACCATCAGCCCATGGAACGAGCGTCAAACCGTCTGGTCGCTTCTGATCGGTCCTGTAGAGGTGTCGTGGTTCTAAAACAGACGGAATGTGAGTAGATGATAGACTCTGCTTTATAAGGGCATTCAGGTTTGAATGCCTAGAGAATCTCCCTGCACTTTTGAGGCAAGAAAGACCATGCCAACCATCCTCGGTTGCGTCTTTTCCGCACACGCATTCATGCCGTCCGCATATTTTTGATCCTAATCGAAGTCCTATCGCAATTCTGAGTTGTTGGTTTGACAGTTTTAACCTTAAATTTTTGCACGGGATGACGTTCAACCATTGGGAGCCAAATCTATCTTGGAACGCGTTCAACCTTTTTACGTCCGTTGTCTCGAGTCGTAAAATCAAGTCTGCCATTTCGGTGTCAAAAATTGGCTCCGTCCAATTTTTTTGGATTTCATTTTCCGGAGCCATTTCAATTTTTCCAAGGTCAAACCACCGTTTAAGCGCATCATCATAGGTTCCATCCACATGCTCCAAACCAAAGATTTTGCTCAAGGCATCTTTCGCTCCTACTGCTGAGGCTAAGAAAGTGGGTAAATCGAGTAGACGAGCGGAAGAAACGCCCAAGCCACCTTTGGCTGCCGGGAGAACTGCTTGTAAAAACTGGTTATCATCCATTTTCACGTTAGTGACCTTGCATAACGAATTTCTTAGTAATTTATCGTAGCGTTCCAAAAAATCATTTTGCAAAAAACAAGGGCTCGTACGCAAAAAATATAGGAGTTTTGGCATGCTAAAGCAATTTTTCAGGAGGTAAAAACCATAATGGGCGTCTAGTTTGTCAATGACATCCGAGATTTTTTCAAGCTCCTTAAGTTTTTCGTCGAGCAATTCTTTTCGGCAAAGTTCGCCGGTTGGAGATCCTAAAATGAGGAGTTCTTCTTTTGTTTTTATTTTTATTTTGGGGCATATTTTTCGAAATTGTGTTAAAATTGAATTATACTGTGTACTAGTAGTCGGTCCCAAAAAACAAAATTCACACTTCTCAGTGTTTAAGCTCAGGACGTAAATTTGTTCCGATTTCAGAATGTTTTTAAGGTCCCGGAGTACTACCTTATAGTCGTCGGCTAAATTCCCATCATCTAAATACCAGATGTTAAGTTTCGACTCCAACTGTTTGACTACTGTATGAATTGTTTCCGCAAAAAGGGGTGGGGCTTCAGGATCACCTTGCTGAGTTCCGTCTTCTGACATTATGACAGAGCTTCCGTAAAAAAGGTAACTAGGTTTACCATACGCGCAATGGGTGTAATTATACAATTCGGGGCGATTTGAATAAACATGATTCAGCATTGTTTCTCTGTTTAAAGAGTTAAAGGCATTCTTAAAATCGAGTTTTAAAAGAACAGTGCATTTTGGATTATCATTAGGTTCAATTAGGTTTCGAAACGAGTGCGCAGCTATTTCTGCTCCTCTTTTGGTACCGCATCCTACATGTACGTTTCCGAAAAAATTTTGTCGCTCGGAGAGGGCCTTGCTTCCAGCGCATTTAGACGCGATACGTCTCAGCGTGTTGCCTATGGCAATCGGTCTCAATCCTCCGTCTATCTTTATGAGGGCGATAAGCTTTGCGCCAAAAGAAGGTCTTAGTGGTTCGGGTATTTTGCCATCTCAATGAGGTTTATCAGCTGTGTAAGCGATTTCAGAAAATTAAGTCCTGCACTGCCATTCGACTTACTAACCAGATCTTTAAAAATTTGAGGAACTATTTTATCAGGACCTGCTGCTGATCCGTTTGGAAAGGACATTATCGCTTTGTATAAGTCGAAATCGGTTACGAAAAAACTATCCAACTTTTCTGGATTTGGAGCTGCAAATTTTGCTCGCTGCGGGTGCTTAGACAACAATTTTTGATAGTTATCAGTTGAAAAAGGAACTATTTTGTCATCCGAAGCAGCAAGCCTTATTCCTCCCTTTACATTTCCTTCATCGAGCTTACTACTTATTAACTTTATTCTCTGCTCGAGGTCACTCAGAGGCGGCCTTGAAACTTGGGGATGGGGTTTTGGAAGTGACACGTCATTTGCTCGAATTTTTTTATTAATCAAAGAACTCATGCATGTGGTCTGTTTGCGTCCACTTCTTTTGGGTTGCTCCAAAAAAAACAAGAAAGACGTTAAAAAAAATAGCCATTTTGTAACATCTTCTACATTGTAGACGATGTCATTTATTTTATCCGACAGACTTTCCGCCAAGGGAACACGCGAGTCTTTTGGAACTCTCTTGAGTACTCGGACATTTGAGATGGCTGTATTAACATAATTGTCTAGCACTAAATCATTACCTATTGTTGCTTTATTAACAGATTTTACTTCAACGCATAAAGGACACTGAAACCATTGGGTTTTCTTAGAGTCGCTAAGAGAAATATTTACACAACTGATATGATACCAACTAGAACAACAATCACATCTAATCCAATTTATCAGTCCTGAAGGTTTTAAGCAATCTTTGCTTGTACACTCTTTGTTGTTTTTCTTCATCTTGACGCAGCATAAAGGTAAAAAAAAGGATTTTGACTGGACTTTAGGGGACTAAACTAACCCATGATAAGCGGTTAGTGGGAATTTTACAAATCAGCAAATAAAAAAAACAACTAAATTAATTTAAAATTTAAAATCGAATTACAAAAATCAAAAACGAGGAACAATCTCACCCGAGCTCAGTAGGTCCAGCGGCGCACCACCAGACTCCTCAAGCCAGTTCCAGTTTCCCACCTCCCCACAGAAAGCCACTTGACCTGTCTCTAAAATCCCTCAGAGGGCGCTCCACATACATGCACAAACATCAAACATAACAAATCTATTTAATAAGTTTATCACAACAATTAGGCTATCTTTATGAGGGCTAGCTGTAAATCCGCTAGCTGTAAATCCTGAACTGTGACATTCGACCAGAAAGTATGAAAATGCAAGTTCGAACTCTAATTTTTACTGTGACAGCTGAGCAGGAAAACTGGCGGTTTTAGCACATTAACGGTGTTAAGGGTTCATTTTGATGAACGCGGAATGGTTAATTTGGACTGACATGTTGGTTTTGAAAAATTAGTTTGAAAAAAAAGCTAAATTATAAAAGGGGCCCTTCCGTTTAGTTACGGTAAGTGCACAAGCTGGATAGGGCCATACCAGCGTTATAAAAATGCATATTTATCAGCAATGAAGTCATAAATCAGCATTAAGTGCATCGTCGTAATGTTAATTTATCTTAGCCGTCCTTCCTATACAATACCGCTTATGGAGTTGTCGATAAATTAAACTTTGCGTAGCGATCTGCACCCCCTTATACAAAGTATAGAGCTCCTCAGGAGCTCGAAGCTTACTTTAGTTCTAATGTAGTTTATAGATTCTGGATAGCTTTCTTGTCTTTTTTCACTTAGTTTTTCGGCAAATCGCTCCATCGTCCGCGTGGCTGTTGGAGCAGCGCCACCGGTGCATCCGAAAATTAGCGGGCAGAAGCTACTCTGCTCTACGTTTAAAATTCTTTGCTGATATTTGGAGTTCTTCAGCGTTTCGTGGTATTAGTTTGCGTCTTCATGCAGTTTTCGCGATGTTTTGGCATGAGGCTTGAAAATTTTCACATCAAAGAAAGCGCGGCTGAATCGTGAACCCCAGAGTCCGTTTGCCTTAAAGTCAAGACGTGCCTCATCTTCAGTTGTAGTTGAATTTTTGACAAAGCTTTCGCCTTGCAACGACTGAAATTTCGGCTCAATCTCGCCGTCATGGCAAACCTCGTTCATGAGGTTGGCGAATGTGTCTCTAATTTCATTGTGTTTTATGTGTGTGTAACCACCCTTTGCACAGAGAAACGCATGTGTCAAATTAAAATTAGCACCACATGCACATGTGAGTGGGGTTTTGGTCGGTTCCCATCCGTATCTTAAGTAAATACCATCTCTGAACTCTGATTTATTCAGGTTCAAGTTGTATCTGCTCAGTGGTAGAGCATTGAGCCAATTAGAGGATCCCTTTTCAGAGGCCAGGTCGATTGCGTATTTATCTGTTTCATTTAAGGAGTTAATGAGGTTTGTTTTTTTTTTTCAATTTGTTCTATCAGTTTTCAATTTTTTGATTTTCGTACATATTTTTTCTTGCTGTGTTACTGCTGTAATAGGATCTTGAGATTCCAGTACTAGTGATGTTTCCTTAGACCATTCTAGGTAGTTTTCATGGTCGGATGGCAGCTTGATGTTAAGTCCGCCCATTTTAAGGGGTAAGGAAGATATCTCACGGAATTGGGGGTTTAAAGTGTCTTTACCGACTAGGTTAGGTAATAATTGATCTTTAATAATACATTCACATAATTCTAAGTTTTCCATAGTGTTAGGCGTTGTCCTGGCAAGAAATGAAAGCTTTTCTTGAAATCCTTTAGTATAGCAGGCATAAACGTTTTGAGGGGAGGTTTTAGCGATTTTCGTTAGTTTTTTCAAAATTTTGATTTGCTCATTCTGTTGAAATTCCAGGAACTTTTTACATTCAGATTCTGTTCCTATAACTGAACCAAGCACTCGGGCTCCTGCCTTTATAGTGATTGCTGTATTTGCGAAGATTTTCTGAGCTTCACCGAGTTTTTCATCCTTGACAATGAGTTGGCATTTGGATGTTTTCACATGGTAGCCGAAAAATTTAAACAGTGATACAATTTTATCGAGGACGATTCGTAGATTGCTGAATTTACCGACTGCATTTCCGTCGTCTGCGTACCGTTTTTGGGTTACATCGTCAACTGATAAAAGTTTTATGAGGGGTATTATGGCTAGACCGTACATGTCCAATGCTAGCGGATCCCCCTGGGTTGTCCCTTCTTGAGAGTAGATGGTTTTTTTGTTAACGAAGAGTTTAGATGGATTGGAGTAGGAGTTCTTAATCACTGTTAAAAGAGAAGGGCAGGTATTTTTGAAGTTTTTTAATGGCACTTTTCGATTCAGCGAGTTGAAAGCGTTTTCGGCATTTATCAGTAAAACAGCATCGGCGGAAATTTTGCTGTATTGATCTCTTAGCGTGTGGAACGCATATTCGATGCCACATTTTTGTCCTAGACAGAGTTGGTAGTTCGAACCGAGCGACATGAGTTCGTTTTTTAGGCATTTGGTTTTTGTTCGCCCTATTATCCTACGCATAAATTCTCCTATGCCTATGGGTCATACTCCTGGATTCTTATCTAAGGGTAGTAATCTACATGCGTTATATGGTTCCATTAATTCTGGATTTAGTTCTTCGGTGGCCAATTTTTTGGCAATTTTGGCAATTGTTTCTGAAATCTCAACTGACTGCTGCCCGAAGTGTGTTAAAAAACGTCTCCAATCATTTGCATCGAGGCCAGATGATCCTTGCGATCCGTGCGTTCTCATGGCTGCCTTTTTGATATGTTGACCGTTTATCTGATCAAATATCGATCGATGGAAAGGAACTGTTTCGTTTGAGACTGGTGTAATATAGGTCTCATAAATTGGTTTAGTTGGTGGGTGCTTCTCTATGAGAGTCTGTTCTACTGTCTTACCTTTCACAATCTCGTCGAGCAAAAGAACGCTTTTGGATGTGTCTGTTAGTTTTGCAATTGCGCTTGTTATTTTTCCAGTATTCATTAGTTTGTTGAACTGTTGTGCTTCAGTTTCAGTTTTTCTTCTATTTCCTTTCAACAAGCGCATTTGCAGCGCCTTCCCTTCGTTATGTAGTCCATCCAGGTCTCCGTCTTGCCATTGCTTAAGTCGCCTTGCTATTGTTTTGGATAAAGATCCATCATTTTCGGACTTTGTTTTGCACAGTAGTAAGTGTGGAAAAATTATTGCTGCGTGCATTGCAAAGATATTTTCGTTGTTTTCTTTTAAGCTGTTCAAAGTTCTTTTGAGGATTTCAATGAAATTATAACCAACTTTAGTTTTTGACAAGATCATAAAAACCGGTTTCCAGTGGACTACTTCGGTGTATATTTTCCTTGTGGTTTCTATGATTTCTGGACAGGGGTTTGACCATGGATCTAGGTTCTATAGTGGAAGACTCTCCTGAGTTTTGTGAGTGTGGGGTAGTGGAAGGCTGAGGGTGCATTTGGGGGAGCGTGGTTGTAGCCAGGGTTGGGGGATTGCCTTCATGCTTGTCGTTAGCTGAATGAAATTGGGAGGTGCAGCGATGACAACTGAAATCGTCATAGTGATCACTGCTGCGGGCTAGACCGCTGCATTTTACATGCATGTAGCCTGGGCATGTGAAGCACCAAACATCTCCGCCTCGCAAATTGTTTTTAAAAATAAGGAAGTGTGTTTGAGTAGCCATTTTTGGAAGGACGGCGGTGTCAAGTTAGCGAGAGAAATTATAGATTAAATTTGCAAGAAAATTTGTAAAGAAATCATTACCGTAGAACGAGAAATGAATACGATCAAGGCAGAACATTTGAGGGGTTAAATTTAGGTTGAGGTTAAGTGAATAAGTGTATGGGGGTGTACAAATCTATTTATCAAATTAAACAGCACATGATTATGAATAGAATTTTTGCGGTTTACTTCGGAGTTATTACAGTTCTGAATTGTTTTATCACCTAACCTAGTCGGTAAAGACACCTTAAACCCCCAGTTCCGTGAGATATCTTCCTTACCCCTTAAAATGGACGGACTTAACATCAAGCTACCATCCGTTTGAAAGGAAAGACACGTGAAAATTCGTTTGAAAATAAAGACACGTGACAACGTCGAAATTTCGCGACAACAGAAAACTGCAAAAAGAGACAGAACAACAGAATTTGATGAGAAAAACGGTGAACGACAATTGTGAGAGACAGATCGAGATTGAAATAGAAGACAACTTTCAGACCACTCCGAGTTGTAACGATTGTGCCGCTACAATCGTTACAACACGCATACCGAGAACCAGGTAGGGTATTGGGACGACGTGTCCAGCTTTCCGAAGAAGAAATAAGAGCGTTCAGAAGAAATAAGAGCGTTATTCATCCGGATTCCAGATTCCGGAGGGGTCTCGGGAGAAAAATGTATTTCTCTGTCTTGTGAATTTCTAAATTCGCTTTCAGATTATGAGAAGCTAGGAGTTGAGGGAACGGGTTGATCCATCTTCGATGGAGATGATGACTGAACAAAAACATGGTGATATGATATATAAGTAGCAGCCCTACTTTTAGGAGTGACCTCGTGGTCTGGGGATACTGAGACCCAGCCATGAGCTCACTATTTTAGCATGTAATTAAGATAATTAGAGCGTTCTGATCGAAGCCGGAAACAGTAACGTTTTTGTCGACCCGATGTTAGAAAGACCACCAAAAGAACTGGCTTTGGCAGAGACGGTAAAAGCATGTAGAGCTGTGTTTAGAGTCTAGCCAGTCGTTTTAGAACCTAGCTTTATTTTCCGTCGATATGTACTTCCGGGCGAATGTTACATAGATGTAACATTCGGCTGTTATCCGAAAGGTTGACAAAATACCGTGTGATTTCAGATTAATCGAGCTAGAGGACTTCATCTGTCGAACAGTGTTAGCAATTCCCACCCATCCAGCTTTATGGTTGAGGATTTGCTAATTGTTTACCTCATTCGAACCAATTCTCTCAAAGCTGCAATAGAATCAACCCCAATCAACGTGAAGGAACCTTATTTACGCTTCTTCTTCAGATCGAACTAGAACAACAATCACATCTAATCCAATTTATCAGTCCTGAAGGTTTTAAGCAATCTTTGCTTGTACACTCTTTGTTGTTTTTCTTCATCTTGACGCAGCATAAAGGTAAAAAAAAGGATTTTGACTGGACTTTAGGGGACTGAACTAACCCATGATAAGCGGTTAGTGGGAATTTTACAAATCAGCAAATAAAAAAAAACAACTAAATTAAT